GGGGTGGAGATGCGGAAAGGAGGGGAGGGGGTGGGGGGGGGGAAATGCGATTGTTTGCGGCTTCCTTGGGACGAGAACCTCGCAGGTGAATGCGTCCTCTCGTTGCACCCACTAACGATGGGCTATGCTGCAACCATCTCCGTCTGGTATGCGCGCGGGCCAGTCTGGTGTCCTGACGCTCCGACTGGGGCAAGCAGGTACCTATGTGATCAACAAGCAGCCACCCAATCAACAGATCTGGCTCAGCAGTCCCAAGAGGTGTGTGTCGTGTGCGTGCGTGCGAGCGAGCGAGCGAGCACCGATCATGGTCCGTATTCAAGCATTTTTGGAGGTTGTTGCGTTCGTTGACCCTTGCGATCACCCCGCGCATCGGACAGCGGACCAAAAAGATTCGACTACGATACGAGCGCAAAGCAGTGGTTTTCCAACAAGGAGGGCATCACTGTCACTTTGCAGGAGCTGCTAGACGAAGAGCTGAGCGCAGTGTTTGGCTTCGACGTCAACGTCGATCTGCATGGAGACCATTAATCAGCACCAGCGTCGGCATTGAGTCACAACGGCAAAAAGGATAAAGATGCACATTGCACGAAAGGCTGCTCGGGGCCTCGGACCAACACCGTCTCGTGCCGAGCGACGCGCAGGATTGGGGCGCATTCACGGCCATCGACAAGACCACCATTCGAGCAGCTGCACAAAGGCCTGCGCCAGAACAGGAGCAGCCTCGGTGCGTGTCTAGCGCGCTCGACGCACAAGGAAACACGGGAAAGAGGGCGCAGCGATGCGGCAGACGAAAGGCACTATGCTTTAGCTCGTCGCCGCCTCAACATCGTCACGCCACTTGCGAGAAGTTTGGTTGAATTGATGACCTCCAATTTGATGCTGTTGCGCAAGCCATCGCTGGAGCGAATTCTCGCGATTCGTGATCCTACATGAATCTCGGCAACATCCCATAGGCGACGCAAGGCGCTCCACCTAGAGATCCTTGCCCCTGCTCTTGACCGCGACGGCATCGGCTTTACGCTGTTCAAATGTTGCAACATCAAAGGTCATCGCTGCATACTGGGTGAGGCGGTCCCTTAGCGTTTCAGCTCCGATCGTCGCCGTGGTCAGGATGCCGCCCTTGAAGTTGTTGGCGCGCAGACCGCCGATTGAGCTCTCCTTTGTGGTTGCGCTCGAGGTGGAGGCGAGGTGAAGAGCAGTTTCGCTGATCATGCGGGCTGTTGCGTGGTAGCCTGAAGCGACAACGTCAAGTGGCGAAAGACGTTGAGTCGTCGAAGGCTTCCTCCACGAGCAGCGTCGAGAGATGCCACTCACCTGGACTGTCTTGGATGAAAATCTTGCAGATGCTCTGCTTTACATTGCCCTGCTTGTCCTTTCCAGTGGCCAGGGCCCGCACATCTGCAAAGCCCTTTTTGGAAGGACCACCATTTTGTGGCAAAAATGTTCTCAGAGCCCACCTGACGGGAGCGAGCCAGATGAGGGCTTTGATCTGAGCAACAAAGAACAGGCTCAAGAAGCTGGTCAAGAGATAGCTTAGAGGCCAGGGCACGCGTTTGGGAGGGAAGAGCAGGCTGGCTTCGTGGTAGGCAAAGTCTTGTCCGTACGCTTCAGCTTGCGAGTGCACTTGGAGCAGACCCCAAGTTTGATTGATGACGCGATGATTGTGAGGCGTCAAGGGGAACCAAGATCCATACACGTTCGGTCCAAACTGCGGCAGCCTGAGGGCCAAATCGAGGGGCATGATGTGCGTTCCTTTGACTGCAGGCAAAGCGGCAAAGCTCGCAAGATGTCAGCAGCAGCAGCAGCAGCAGAAGCAGCGACTCGGGCACTGATGACCTGAAGCATGGGCTTCTGCAAATTCTTCGCCCCCCATCCATGCACTCACCAGGACTGAGCTGATCGGGCTGCTCGAACTGCAACTGCCCGCCATCGATTTCCGCAGCATCCACAGCCGACAAGATGGTTCCGGTGGAAAAGCCTCCATCCACACGCACTGCTGTGCGAACAGTGTCGACATGGGATACGCCTTGACTCTTTTTGAGGTGCTGAGCTGCAAAGTAGGCTGACAGATCTAGGGGCAGCGAGTCGAAGCCTGAAGAGGGCACCAGGATGCTCCCCGTCGAAGCGGCCAGCGGTCCGAGTCTAGAATGCGGAGGTGAGGAGAGGAGAGCGAATGGAGGGCAGGGCAGGTGAGTGCTGTTTGCCCGGCATGCCATGACATGCCACGCCACGCCACGCCACGCCACGCCACAGGACTGGTCGCCTCGCCTCGCCTGGCCCACTCACTCGAGAAGAGAGGCATTGAATCCAGACTCTCCGCTCAGGTCAGTGTAGTGCGTTCCCACACTTGCGCAAGCCTTTGCGACCTCGTAGCCATTCGTCTTTCTGAATGGTCCTGCAATGTTGGCCAACACTTTGGTCTTCTTTGCCACTTCTTGCAAGCTGGCAATGTTGGTGGTGTCGGCGCTGAGGATGCCGACGGAGGTGGGCAAGTCTAGCTTCTTGCGGAGAGCGTCTAGACGAGCGGCAGAGCGACCGGCGATGCCCCAACGTGGATGGGTGGGATGACGCGCGAGGTATTCGGCGACCAAGCTTCCCGTAAAGCCTGCGAGGAGGATGAGAGAGGAGAGAACACGACAAGGGCGCTGTGTCAGGGCAGCAGCAGCGCGTGCAAAGCATCGCATCGCATAGCATCGCATCGCATCGCTTTTCACGTGCACTCACCCGTAGCTCCAAGCACGACGACATCGTATTCTCGTTGTGTGCTCGACATTTCGAAGCGGGTGTCTGTAAATGCAAGTGGGTGGAAGTGTGTGCAAGTGGTGGGAGTGATGTGCAACTGGTGCGCTTGATGAAGCAAAGCAACCGAGAGGTGACGGTGGAAGGAAGGATGACGCAGGTGCGTGTGCGTGTTCGTGTGCGTGTGCGTGTGCGTGTGCGTGTGCGGGTGCGTCAGGTGCAGCGCGCGCGTGTGTGTGGAGGCGACGATCACCCGCACCCGCGCACGCACCTGCGCGAATTCGCGCCACGCTGCATTCACATTATTCACGATTCAAAATGTGATTTAATTGCGCTCGACGGGCACGTCGACGCTGCTTGCTTGCTCACGGCGGGCTCATGACTCGCGTGACTCCGATCTCGACCGACCAGCATTTGAGTCATTCAAGATTCAGATTGATTGAGTCGCAGTAATAAGAGTGACAAGGTGACACCGCGTGCCTTCAAGAGTTCGGCCGGTTGAAATCGTGGATGAACAGTCACAGTTGAGTCACAGTTGAGTCACGAATAGTGAATCGTGAATCGTGAATCGTGAATCGAAGCGAGCGGCCCTGCGCGGCAGCTGCTAGGGCAGTCCGGCCATGCAGCAGTCCCACCATCATATATCACGTACCACCCAGCCACAGCCACGGAGGCGCGCCTAGCTGATAATGGAGGCGCGCCTAGCTGATAATGGGGACCGAGGTAGGGCAAGCGACCCGCGGCGTGAAGTCAGTCTTGAGTCATTCGCCACATCTCTGTGCAACTCTTTGCGCGGTGCGAGACTGTGAGTGCGAGTGAGTGGATACATGTACAGTCACGAGTCACGAGTGCTGGCTGGCCTCTCTTGACTCTTCTGCAGATTCTGCAGAATCGTGAATGTGAATCGTGAATCAAGAATCTTGAATCAGATCTTTGAATCTAATCAATCGCGCTCGCGCTCGAAACCTCGCTCATTCAAGCACGTGATCTCTTTGCTGCTATAGCTGCAACGACCTCCGATGCACGCAAGATTGCCGAGCGCTTCGAGTCCGACAGCCAGTGCGGGGAAAGGCGACACGGACTGCATGTCTCGGAGATCTCGCCGTTTGGTGTTGTTGTTGCATATATGCTATGCTCCTGCGAACGATGATTCACGCAACAATCAAGGTCCCCGATAAAAGCCGTGGGGGGGGCCAAAGTTCTTCTGAAAAGCATACTCGCCCCCCATATCTCTCTCTCTCTATTTCAGAATTGCGAGTGTATCGCGCGCGCGCCCTGTCAACGCACTGCTTTCCGACTGCCGCCTTTTCCAGCGCGGAGGTCGAAGGAGCGCACATTAATCGCCATCCAACTACTCGAGCCTTTCGAGATGGTGCAAATTGCCAGCAACAGGGCACAAGGTGCAGCAGCAGGCGATCACGGCTTCGTCTTGGGTCTGGACAGCTCCACGCAGTCCTTCAAAGCGTCTCTTCTGTGTAGCAAGACGCTGGAGCCGATCAGCGAAGCGTCGATCCACTTTGATAGCGATCTGCCGCAGTACGGTACGAGCGGAGGGGTGTTGGTGTCGGAACAGGGAGATGAGGTTTGGAGTCCGGTCGAAATGATTGTGCATGCCATGGATGAGCTGCTGGATAAGCTCAGGCAGCAACGATGGGACTTGGCCAGCGTCAAGGCTGTGAGCGCGAGCGGACAGGTGAGTGAGCCTGCTTGCTGCATATGTGCAGCGATACGGAGCGCCCTCGCGTGATAGCTTGCTCAGACGAGCCGCCGCAGTGACGAGTGGCTTGGCTTGTAATCGTGAATGCTGATCTGGAACATCATCTATGCTGTGTACCTGCTGCTGCTATGCTGCTGCGGCCCACGCGTACGCGCACGCGCACGCGCAACGTCATCACATATATAGCAACACGCCACCGTGTATTGGTCTGATGCATCCACGGATCTGCTGGCCCGGCTCGACGCCTCACGCACCATCTCTTCTCAATTGCAAGGCGCATTCTCGCGATCCATCGTTCCCAATTGGCAAGATGCCTCGACCACATCCCAATGCGACTCTTTTCGGCGATGCGCCTTCCGTCAAGCACGTGCAGCAGGCCTCGACACAGAGTACACGGAAGAAGCGGGAGACGAAGCGCTGACGAGATTGACGGGATCAGCGGCGCACACGCGATTCTCTGGCGAGCAGATCATGAAGTTTAGACAGCGAGATGCGGAAGCGTGGAAGGGCACGCATCGCATCGGATTGGTCAGCTCGGCGCTGAGCACGCTCTTGACGCAGACGCATCAAGGCATAGACGAGTCGGATGCTTGCGGCACGAATCTCTGGCAATTGTCTCATCGCAATGTCGACGACGACGACGAAGGATGCAGTGTCGCTGCTGCTGCAAAGAGGCATTGGAACGTTGCGCTACTGCAAGAGGTGGCCGGCTCTCAAGAAGAGGCGAAACGGCTAGAGGGAATGCTGGGAGAGGTAGAGTGCGACGCCGGAAGAGTGATTGGAAAGATCGGTAAATGGTTCGTGCAGCGCTACGGCTTCGACAGCGAATGCATCGTCTGCCCCGGCACTGGCGACAATCCCGCGACATTCCTATCGTTCGCGTGTGAGTTTGCGTCGTCGGCTACGTGTGCGCCTCGCCCCCGCCCGCGCCTCGCGAAATATGACGGGGCTCAACTTCATCCCTCCATCGCTTTCCCTTGGATTCCTCGGCTGGCTCGATGCAGTGCCGCCCAAGCAGGCAGTCCTCTCCCTCGGCACGTCCGACACTGTCCTCCTCTCCTCGGACACTTACAATCCAAAAGTCTATGGTCACACGTTTGTCCATCCAGCCCTGCGCGAGACCGATACTGCGGAACTGAGGTACATGAGCATGCTGTGCTACAAGAGTGAGTGCCTGTTGCATTCGTACAGTCTGCCGCGCTGACCGCTGACCGAGGGAATCGCCGCCTATGCAACGCTCCCCCGCTTCTTCCTCCAGATGGAAGTCTAGCGAGACAAGCGATCAGAGATACGCTTAAGCCGCCTGATTGGGATCACTTCAACAAGAGCGTCTTTGACGCAAGATCCGCCGGATTGGGCTTGCCGCGCCGAGCGGCATTCTACTGGTTGAGGCAAGAAATCATCGTGAGTTTCGATCTTCGTCTCCCTCGCTTTTGCTAGCTTCGCATCGATCCCAGCCTTCTGACTTTGTTGGCCCAAAACCCCATTCTCAAACTTCCCCCCCCCCCCCCCCCCCCCCCCCCCCCCTCCCCCCGCCCCCCCGCTCCCCGCCGCTTACAGCCACCCGGCGCTCGCGGAACGGTCAGGTACGAATTGCACGGCTCTTCGTCCCATTACCTACAACAGAAGCAAGCATGGTCCGATTCGGACGCGCTGAACATTCTAGAATCTCAATTCATGTCCTACCGTCATCGAGTACGTCAATACCTCTCCTCCTCCACCTCATCCAACAACGACGCCGCCCAGTCCGACTTGACATTGGACGCCGTCTATCTGGTGGGAGGCGCCTCCAACAATCCGGCAATCCAACAGCTCGTGGCCGACGTGATGGGCTGCAAAGTGTACCTTGCGCAAACACGGGGAAACGCCTGTTCGGTCGGCGCAGCTTACAAGGCAGCTTGGGCGCTCAGCAGGCACACCGCCGCCGCCGCCTCCTCTTCCGATACAGCTGCAGCTGCAGCGGCAGCCGACAAAGATGCGGCGAGGGAACCTTTCGAAAAGTTTGTCAGCCGAGTCAGGAGGGGCGTCGTCCTGGGCAGTGGAGGCGGCGCAGCGAATGCGCGAGACGAACAACATGGAGCTAGCCTAGTTGCGCAACCTGATCCCAAATGGACAAAGGTGTACGCCAAGACGCTCGACACGTGGATCGAGTTGGAACGCAGGGCGCAGAGTGATGCGGCAAGGGTCTAGCATGTCACGAGGTCGAATCAGGCACGCGATACATGTCGTTTTGCTGTGTTCTCGCAAAAAAGTGATTTGTTCGCACGCTATTGTAGCGGCCGCTGAGCATCGGCGTCGTATGTATGCATTTCAAAATACATGGGCGTCTCTAGAAAAAGCCTCGGGGCTGCGACTGCAGTCCTGTCACCGTTCCTTGCAGGCCCGATTGAGTTCGATTGATCATGATGCCGTGGGCGCTCCGTCGACATTCTGCTGCTCGCCCTCGGCTTGCACTGGTACCATGGGCGCATCGGCTTCTCCAGCCTCCCTCGAAGCTTGGGGGTCCGGGACTCCCTTGGCATGAGCTTGTGCCAATTCAGCTTCCGTAGTCGTTTCCTTCCCTGCCCCGCCTCGTACCCCTTCGTCGGCTGAAGCGAGGCCTGAGGCGCTCAAGGTCGCTGCTGCCTCTCCCTCCGCTCCCTTGGCGCCTGCTATGGGGTGCACTGAAGCTCCTTGGACCGATGCTTGTGCATTTGAATCATTTGATGGACTACTCGGCGCTCCTGCCTGCAGCGTGCCGGGCGAAGATGTCGACATTGCCTGCACCGTTTGATCACCAGACGCATTCTGTAGTGCATCCTCCGTGGGCGCAAGCAGTCCCGCACTTGGGACCATCGATTGATCGATCTCGCTCGATATACCGGAGCTTGACGCAGCAGAAGCGTCCGGCAAAGAGGTAAGAGATGAAGCAGGCGCGATAATCTCGGACGCGGCTACCGCGTGCTCGTCGACACTTGATGTCAGGGGAACGATGGCATCTGGGGCCAGACTTTGACGCTGCTCGGGCAGAGACGTGTCGACGTCAGCAATTGAATCTGTCGCTGAAGCGTCGACCTGACTTAACGAAGCGGAGGGAGCGCTTGTTGCTTGGTCAGCAGCCGGAGGTGGTGCAGGGACTTCAACGGACGCAGACGTTGAGGGTGCTCCAGTGCTCGCGTCGTTCTTGCCTGCGACCGGCTCATTGGCAAGCGCAACAGGGGCAGGCGCGACAACACTGAGCGATTCGGTAGGCTCTGACTCTTGTGCCGAAGCGTCAACGGGAAGAGCGGCCACAGTGGGTAGGGCCTCGTTGGGAGGTGCTGGTGGCAGTCCGATCGGTGCGCTCTCTCCAGAGGCCTGTTCGGCCCCTGCAGTATCAAGCACGCCCGCGTCTTCATCCTCTGCATCTGCATCCGCATCTGCATCACCATCACCGTCGCCGTCATCTTGGGCTTCTCCATTGCGCTCTTCTGTCGAGACAGCGTCCCGAATCTGAACAGGGGCGGAAGCAGCTGCAGACGCAGGTGCGGATTCCGTGCCTGGAGCTTGCACCGCTCCTGCAGCGCTTTGAACTGTCTCGTCAGTCATCTTCACGCCCTGAGGAGCTGCGTCCAGAGACGTGTCCTTGCCGGAAGGCTCTTGCGCCGGCACCTGACCCTGATTTGCCTGTGTTTGTGCGTGGCTATGCGCTGGCGCTGCAGCAGCAGCGGCGGCTGAAGCTTCCTGCACAGTCGGAGCTCTCGGCGTCAGGTCCTCCTTCGGTGCCGGAGCGGGCAACAATTTTCTAATCTCTTCTGGTGTTTGCGCCCTGACGTAATTCGAGTGTATGTGCCGGCTCTCGCGCGTGGTGCGAGCCCAATCTGGCCCTTCGGCCTCTTCTTGAGACGGCTGATTCGGATCAACCTGCATCTCGTCTGCCTCTTCCGCGACATCCATATTCGCTCTCGAAGCCGCCCGTTGCTTGTGTCGCTTGACTTCGGCCTCTGCTCCGAGCGAACCTGCGATTGTCTTGGCGTCGATTGCTGTCTTGAACTCTTGCACCCGGGCTCGGTGCGCAGCTTCCAATGGCGCAATAGTAGCCGTCTCCTTTTCCAGCTTGGCTTGCAATTCCGAGATGGAGTGCACAGCGTACGGCGAAGGCGAGGGACGAAGGTCCTCTTTCGACACACGGCAGGCCGTATCATCATCGTCAGCGTTACAAATGAGCGCATATATGCTGCCTCGCTGGCAAACGCGCACTCACCGATGCGCCTAGCGTCAAAGATGGCTCCGAGCAGGGAATGGTTGCGGGTGTACCTAGCCATGGCAAGGTCCCTGGCCGACAATCTGTCCAGCTCATCGAGCAAAAAGTCCGAGTGCTCGTCCTCCAATGCCAGACCTACAGCCATCTCTGAGGGAATCTTTGGTTGAGGGTAAGGATTTCGAGGCTGAACGGCGTGGGGTTGACCGTGCGCAGGATGCATGTGTGGCTGCTGGGCGTGGTGAGGGTGCGGATGCACACCTTGACCTGCGGCGAGAGATCCTCGCGGACCGTATGGACCCGCTGCTCCACCTTGAGGCGCCGCCGTAGAAGGAGGCTGCGGGTGGTGCGCATGGGGCCCATTCATTCGCGGTGATTGACCCACTTGAGCGTGGGGGTGCTGACTGAGGTGGGGATGAGGTTGAGAATGTTGAGCTGGCGATTGACTGCCCAGCATCGCGCCTTGCCCAGCGTACTTTGTCTGCTGCTGCTGCTGCTGCTGTTGGGCTGGGTGACCCGTTTGCTGCTGGCTGTACTGGCCGTGATGATCGTGCCCGCCCTGTTGTATAGGAAAACCGCTGTGACCTGCGGTCGCTGTACCGGCGTACCCGTGCTGCTGTTGCTGGGGAGTGTTGGGTGCGCCGCCGAAATGGCCTGGATACGGTTGGTGTAGAGGATGGCCGTGCATGTGAGCGGGGTGTCCCATGGCCGCTTGAGCCTGAGCCTGCGCTTGAGCTTGCTGAGCAGCGAGCATGTGCTGAGCCCTGGCTTGCTCGTACATTTGCGCTTCTTGAGCTCTCAGCTGCGAGGTCTGAGATGATGACGGCTTGCGCTTTCGGCTGCTGCTGGGCGGAGGTGGCGGCGGCGGTGCAGAAGAAGAGGCAGGTGAGCCGCTTCCACCTCCCGACGCAGCACCGCTAGAAGGTGGTACCGCCGATTGCTGAAACGGCGAACCAGATTGCATGGTGTGCGTGTTGAGCCGATGACTTGTGAGGTGCAGCGCTGATGTTGCACGTGTGCGACCCAATTTCCTTCTGGTCGGTGCACCGTATGAGATGAGGTCGTGAGATTGCTCCAAAGGCTTGCGCGCGCTCTCGCTCTGAGCAGACAAAGTCGTGGACGCAGTAGTCACGCGCCACGGACTCGGTATCACGATCAAGCGCACACGTGCCAAGCCGCCTGAAATGAATGATGATCAATAGCGGGCCTCTACTTGCGCTCTGGTCTAGACGCTGCCGGACGAGCTGCGCGCGTAAAGGGAGAGTCTCTGGCAGGTGCTAAGCGATGGCGCAGGTACGCGCTTGGTAGGTGATGGCGATGTCGCGCGAGGCGTCGTTGTACCGGACGTGAGAGGCGAGTGGCAGGTGAAGCCGATGAAGCAGTTGAGTGTGAGTCAAAGATCAAGGTTCGAAGGTGCTGCAGCTAAGCTCTGAGGATGAAGGAGCGCACCTGCTGTGGCCGCGATAGGCGCGATCGATGGGATCACCTGCTGGTCGTTTTCGAACGCGGCGCGTGTAGGCCGACACACGTGACCGTCGTTCAGTCGGTCGCGCGTTTGTGCAGCTGCTGCAGCTAGCACGCACGCTCGCTGATGGCTGACCCAACGTGATGCACCGCGCGCATGCTGGCTGGGCGCCGTGCATGCAGCCGGGGGAAGCGCGTCGAATACACCGACCGCGGTGTAAGGTCGAGGCTTTAAAGTCACGATTCACGATTCACGATTCACGATTCACGATTTAGCATCGTGCACATGGGATACGATCCGTGATGTTGGTCTCATCCTTGCTTTTGAACGCTATCGAGGTTGGGCATGCGGATGCTACCTGACATCAGTGCTCATACTTCAAGACTCAAGACTTCAACTAGAGCTCGGCTTTCTGGTGACAAACAACAGCAGCTCGGTGAGTCCCGATAGCACGCACGTTAAAGGGGTTCATATCGTAGCGCCGGTCCGAGCATCCACGACTTGAGACAACCTCCTCCATTCGGGTCCCTCGGTTGTGAGGATTAGGTGCAGGTGCAGGTGCAGGAGTGCACGTAGTCTGCAGATTCTTGGCTTTCTCGGCTTTCTCCGAGCGCCTGCGATCCTGCAATCACGAATGTGAGACTCAGACTGTTGTGACTGTGACTGATCGATCACCTTTGTGCGCCTATGCTCGCAGATCCGAGGTCGACAGCGCACTGTCCTTTCCTGTCAAGAGGCTGCTTGACTGCTACCTCTCGCAGCTCTGAAGAGTCAGGACAAGTGACAAGTGGCAAGTGAGGAGCGTCACAGCAATTGACTGCGGAAGCAGACCGCTGCCACCAGCCTCGAACAGCGCTTTGCTTGGTCCTTACCATCTCCGCAACATACATCCACATCCACACACACCTCATCTCTCTCTCTCTCTCTGCATGTCGCACATCGCACTTGCGCACTTTGTTCTGTTCATCGACGCTGCACATTCACATTCACATTCCTGCCATCCGTGTATGACAAGCTTCTGCGACCACCTCTCCCCTGCCCCGACGCTTCGCTTCGCTCCCCATGTCGGCTAGATCGCGCAAGGACAGGTCTGCCACTGCGTCGTCCACCGAAGGTGAGTCGTTGCGGGTCTCGCGTTTCGCGCTGAGCGGGCCGACGTAGCAGCAGCAAGTCAGATGACAGCTTGAGGACATGCGCTCGCTCGCTGACACGCGCGAGCGCCCTCGTGAAACAAAAGAGAGACGCACGTGGGATACAGTAAAGGCGACTTTGCGCAAATTTGATCGAGCTCGCGTCGCCAAGTCGGCTCACGAAGCAAATCTCAATCGACATCGCGCCACGCTGCAAGACGTGCTGGATCGAGCTGGAAGATTGCGCAAGACGGACAATGACGCTGCGGATGGTGTTGCAGATCACGGAAACATGGATGTGGATGTGGATGAAGGGGAAGAGGGCGAACCTGACGATGAAGCGGAAGACGCCAGAACGGCAATCGCCGATTCCAAGGCAGCTCTTCTGCGAGCTGTGGATGACGAGATACGGCGAGCAAACAATGTGGTGTGCCCTGCCCAGAAACCCCAACAAGCCGCTCACACTGCTTCCCACCCCACTCGCCACACAGACTGGCCGATGAGATTCTAGAGACGCTATCTGTGCTCAACGCGCTGCGTCCCACCGCTGCGAATGGTGTGTGCTCGCCCGCCCCATCTCGATTCCATGTTGCGCTGGTATACGCTGATCCGGACGCCTTTTCGAACACTCCTAGATCCACCAGCCAAAGCCATGGGACGCAAAAAGCGACGCTTCTCCAGCGTTTCAATGTCCCCCTCGCTCACACCTGCTCCTGCGCAATCGCCCCCACCCGTAAGCCGCGCCTCGCAACACTCGCATGACAAGAGCGACAACCGGGGAGGAGCGTTTGGCGCTACGCTTGATGCCGCCCCAAGCGGTTCGGCATCCACTTCTTCAGCAGCCGCGTCTAGCGCTGTCCGCTCATCAGAATCATCGTCCAATCTTGTCAGCGGCTCGACGAGCGCACTCGGCTCTGCTGCAAGAGACGCGCACAACACGTCGATATCGAGTGCCAATGTGAGCGCGACGCCAAGCGCGAGCAAAAGCAGGCAAACGCCACGGGGATACGTCGACCCTGCCAAAGCGCGCAGAGAGGTTTTGCACGCCCAATTGCCTCTGGCCAAAGGACGCAGGGTGGCCTTTAGGCAGCCGACCAAATCTCGCTCGGAGCGCGGACCAACGAATGGCAAAGGGTCTGGTGTGCAAGGTGGCGCGGGCGCAGGAAAAGGCGGAACGGGCGGCGGCGGCGGCGGGGGCAGCAGCAGCAACAACAACAACAACAACCAGACTGAAGAAGAGGGAGAGACTTGGATTCTGGCTGTTGTGATGGAATGCATCAACAACGATCGAAATCGATACGTCGTGCAGGATGCAGAGGATCGCAACTCTCCGTGAGTAGCAAAGTTGCTTTCGCGCTCTTTGGCACGAAAACAGTGCGTCTCTGACACGTTGAAGCTGCTCACGCCCTGTGCACCGACAGCACGGTAAACACGACGCTCAAAGCTATCGTGCCGCTACCAGAGAGTGTGGCTACGTTGCCACCGCAAGACTATGCAGTAGGTCAATGGGTGATGGGCATGTATCCCGACACTTCATGCTTCTACCGCGCCAAGGTCTTGGGTGGAGGACCAGGTCTGACTGGTCGTCAGAACCCAGCCAAGGTGAGTCAAGACTGCGAAGGAGTGTCACGCAGTGAGCCGCACGTGTGCTGCTCGTGGTCTCGCATGATCTTTGACGACCACCCCCCTCTCAGCTCAAATCGAGGACGCAGGAACTGTTGGCCAAGCCATATCAATTGGAGTTCGAGGATGACAACAATAGGATGCACGAAGTCTCTGCCGGCTACGTCGTGGAAAGACCATAGTCGATGGGTGGTGAGGCTGACGAAAGCAAGCGATCGCGTGCCACGCTGATTGCTACCATCGCACGATGCTGTCGACTCGAGACTCGAGAGTCCTTTCGGCTCTTGCTCGCCTTCATTTCCATTCCGATCACCTTCGCCGTCTCCACCTTCAATGTTCCCTAGTATTCGCGTCTTTTGCTTCGTCTTCCTCCCCCTCTTCTGCAATGAACACGATCTGCTGCGTAGTCTATCGCACTACTACTATCACGAAGATCGATGATCTTGGGTCACTTGTACACATCTCCAAAGCATCAGTCGTGAGTCTTCGGCATGCGCGCGGCGTCAGCATGGGCGCATCAGCCGAGTAAGACGGTGCAATTCTTGATCACGAGTCTGGTCTGTATGGCGCGACGCTCCATGCGGGATGGGGGGGCGCCTAACCCTCTATACTCACCTTTTGACCAGCTTGCTACGCAAGCACAAAAACGCTCGCATTCACGATGACCGCATCGTTCGCGGGTGAAGATCGGCGTTTCGTCGACCTGCCTGCTTGATGGATGCACCTCGATCATGAATGGCAGCGGCGGTTGCGGCAGCTAGACTCTCGAAACAGCTGCCGATTCGAATCTTTTGTGAAGGATCACGGAAGCGAACAACGCCGCGCGCGGCTTGTGTTTCTGTTTCTGCTTGACTGCTTTGTATTGCCCAGACGCGTGGCTTAATTGAATCCGAAGCTTGCGTTTGAATCAAGAATTGATGAAGTTGCAAACCACGAAAAGGCGGGGGGCGGACAAGCCACTCGCGGGCGCTTCTATATAATGACATGTGGCTGTGGTGGTGGTGCACACTCACGCTACAGAGCGTTCAAGATGCAAGATTAGCACTCTGACTCACGAGTGCTCAATTCCAACTTGGGAGCTGTCCGCTAGCTATGCCCGCCAAAGGGCGATGCGATGCGTGAGCATCAGAAAAGTCATGCACACAGCTAGGCGGATCTCACAACATTATTTCGTGAGTCGTGAGTATTATATGAGTGGATCGAGTCGCAATGCGAGTCTTGCTGGCGCGCCCATCTGGCCGCTATCACCGACCTCGAGCTCCATCACCACCGGGATTGCCGGATCGCATGCAGGCAGGCAGGCATCAGCATGCAGCACCCGCCGAGCACCGGATAAAGAACGCGCGAGGTTGCCACACAAAGCGCCACACGAGGTCAGGCACGGCGCTTGTTGTGAGTCAAATGCAGCAAGTGTACATACAGTATGTGGATATGTGTCTGTAAATGTACCGTTAAATATATATAAGTGTACATTGTATGCATGCCCAGCCCAGCCCAGACGAAAGCCTCGACTGCTTCTGCGAGTGATCGATGATGCATGAGCGCGAGAGCAGTCTATATGAGTACTCACACTCACGACTGGCTAGGCCTCCATGTAAACAGGCGATGTATGCAAGAGTAGTAGTACCGATGGTGACTGCATGACCGACTTCTGACTGCATGCATGCTGAGGCCCGGCCCCCCCCCGCTTAATTTGGTTCTTCATGATTCCCCTCTGTGACCCGCGGAATAGACTGCGACTTTTTTGATGGAGCACTGCTGCTGCAGCCTCTCTGATGTTGCTGCGAGCGAGCACAGCAGAGAGAGAGAGAGAGAGAGAGAGAGAGAGAGAGGCGTCGCGATTTCTTCTTATCAGCAACGCCTCCCTCCTTCCCCTACACATATCTCCTTCTCCCTGAGCTCACCAAAAGCATTCCCATTCACGATCTCGTCTTTGCTTCTTACTCACCATTCATCTAGCGCATCCTACTCACACCTCCCATTCCCACAACACGCACGACGAGGGCACCCGACATGGGTCTGTTCAAATCCAAAGGTGGATCGGCCGGCGATGCTCCGCCCTACGAGAGGGATGCCAAGGAGGATGTGTACGTGACCGCTACACCCGCCAATGATGGCGACAATGGCTCCTTGAACGATGACGATGCTGCTCTGCAAGCCACGACGGGCTACAAGAGCGATTTCAAACGCGAATTCAAAAGCTTGTCCACCATCTCCTTTGCCTTTTCCATCATGGTGAGTCGAACAGCGAGTGGTGGAGCCGTGCTATAGGCCTTGATATGTATGCTGACATTTGGGGACGATGCGCATACACTGGCCACAGGGACTGATATCCTCCGTAGCGACCACCTTCAACCTGCCCTTTTTGTCCGGAGGACCAGCCAGCACCGTGTTTGCATGGATGCTGGGAGCGATCATGAACCTCACTCTGGGCGCAGCAATCGGAGAACTCGTGTCCGCTTACCCATCAGCAGGCGGTCTCTACTCTGCCTCTGGCCTCGTCGTGCCCAGGCGGTACAGAGCCATCACTGCTTGGTTCACTGGCTGGCTCAACTTCACCGGTCAGATCGCTGGTATTGCTGGAACCGAGTATGGATTGGCACAAATGATCTTTGCCTGGGCTTACGTCTTGACCGGCTACTCTGCCAGCGTGGGCGCAACTGTGAGTACATTGCTGCACAGCTCTCGCAATGTCGACACATTCCCATCAGAGCTTGGGGATATTGGCCGTCTGACGCTCGGCTTCGGTTCTGCGCTCTTTCCTGCTCCCCCCACCAGTATGGCTTGTATGCCGCTCTCCTCATCGTCCACGGCATCCTCAACTGCTTCCCAACCGGCTGGCTGGCCAGGTTCACCTCTTCCTACGTCTTCATCAACCTCGGCATGACCGTCATCACGGGTGTTCTGGTGCTCGCTCGCACGCCAGCTGCGGAGATGCACACTGGCTCTTACGTCTTTGGCGAGATTAGAGATGGCACTGGTTACGGTAGCAACGCTTTCGCCTTCCTGGTCGGATTGACCTGCGTCCAATTCGTCATGACGGACTACGATGTGAGTAGGGGAGACCGCGCAGCAAACAGTGGGCTTGCAGTATGCTGACTGGCACTTGCGCCCCCCTCAGGCCACTGCACACATTTCTGAAGAGGTCGAGAGAGCAGCTATTGCCGCTCCTGTCGCCATCTTTGTGGCCGTAGCGGGAACGGGTCTCTTTGGATTCTTCCTCAACGTCGCCATGGTGTTCGCAAGCGGCGACGTAGCATCTCAAGATCTCAGCACCTTTCCCGGAGAGCTCGCTTTCGCGCAGATCGTCTTTCTCAGAGGAGGCAGAGTGGCCTTCCTGGTCATTTGGCCGTTCATCTGCAGCGTCGCCTTCTTCGTGGTCCAAACCGCTACGCAAGCCAATGCCAGGTCTTTCTACGCCTTTTCTCGGGACGGAGGTTTGCCCAAAATCTTCTCCAAGGTCATTCGCGGCTCTACCGTGCCGGCCGTCATCCTCGTCGTGGTGGCATGCGCAGCGCTCGGCTTGCTCAGCTTCGCATCCTACGCAGCTGTAGCCGCCATCTTCTCCCTCGCTGCGCTGGGAATGGATCTGTCCTACATGGTTCCCATTCTGTGCGCCATGATCTTCAGAAGACATCCGGATGTCAACTTCAAGCCCGGACCCTTTTGGATGGGATGGGGATGGTTCGGCACGACGATTCGGATCATCGCTTGCATCTGGACGGTGTTTGAGTGCGTCGTCCTTGTCATACCCACCGTCAGCCCGCTCACGGCGCAGAACATGAACTACTCTTGGGTCGTCATGCTCGGAGTCCTCTTGCTGGCTGCTGCTGCTTAGTGAGTCCATGCAGAATCGACCCTTGACGACCCGCTCATCCATGCTCACGCCTCGTACGCATGCCCTCTAGCCCATTCACCAACTATCAGGGACCTCGCGAAGGCTCTCTGCAGCAAGAGAGCGCCAAGCGTGCTGTGGAGCAGCAGCACTGAGCTTCTGCAAACTCACCCGCTCGCGACGTCACGGGAAGCAAGCAGGAGCGCATCGTCAGATTTGGCAAAACACAGATTCGAGGATTGAAAAAAGGATCAGCATGTTGGGCAATTTTTGGAACTTGAAGGGGATGCGCATTTCGCTCTGCTGCTGCTGCTGCTGCTGCTGCTGTACAGTACTTTTGACGTGGTCGAATTGACATTGCAATCGTGAGCAGAAACGTATAATCTGTGCGCCTGAAAGCTGAATCACGAATCTCACGGGATGGAAGCCGCGTAGCTTTCTAGGCAAAGTTGAAGCGAGGTCAGACGACATAGAGGGCGAAGTGGACTGGGCGACACCACGTCTTTCTCGCCTCTTGAGAATATCAAAAGGTGAGGAAGGAAAGCAGGCATGAGCATGTGCTGCTTCATGCACGGTTTGAGTCGAGTAGACCAGAGGCTCACGCATTCTCGCAGTGGACAGTCTTCGTAGTCTTTGTAGTTCCTGTATAGCCCGCCGAGCACTTTGCAAGTTCATGCCAAAAAGGCGTCGGACTGATCTGCAAAGAACATGCATGCCGGCGCGCTCTCCACGTCTGCAAGCATCACGAGGTGCGATGATCGGCGGGAACAGGGTGCTTGCTGTCAGGTGCAGGCAAACGTATTTCGTACCTGATCGACTCACACTGATGAGATTTGAACTTCAATGTGCTCGGCGACAATTGGGTGGGTCAATTGCCGGGCTTTGCAATCGCTCGACCACAAGCATGAGCCCGAACATGACATCAGTCGCACTGATGACGGCCCCACCACAGCGAAGAGACGCTCGGTCGCAATCGGACCTGCCGATCAGTCACGGGTGAGGACACCCAGAGCGTATCACCCCGACTTGCTCGAGGGAGTCCCCTCGCCCTCGCCTCTGCTGAGCATTTAGACGAAAGATTCGGCGCTGTGAGCACTGTCAAACGATTAGATTGCTGAAGTCAGTGGAAGGCCTCACTACCTTCTTTGCCTTGTCCGCCTCTTGGGACGGGCTGCGCGTTGCGCGGGTGTCGCAGCACATTCTCGACTCTAATCCTGACAGACGGCTGCAAGAGCGGTGTTCAAGTCGATTCCAACGAAGAGTGCAACGAGGCTTGTTCAATTGCAGTACTAGAAGAGGGCTGCATTCGAGACCTGCTAGTCATCCTAACGAATGGCTCGCCCCTCACACATCTACTCATATGGGCACCCATTCTCCTGCACCTGAGGGCTCGGTCCCCCGCTCCCGACAGGCAAGGGCTTGCATTTTTGCTTCTTGGGTTCCTCTGCCCCGGACTTGCAGTGTTCCTTTAGATCGACGACCTCTGCCTTGCACCTCTTCTTCTCCTGACCCGCAGACAGTGATCTGCACTCTTCTTTCTTGCTCTTGATTGCGGCCTTGCAAAACTTCTCGCCAGATTCTCTCTCACGCCTGTTCATCTGCAACTGCATTTGCACGGGCATGTTGGCCAGACGGCGTAGACAAGGGGGGTAAGCGACTTTCCAGCGTAGAGATGACAAGACTGATACCGACATTCTTTGGCTCCTCTGCAGGGAACGACCTCGCGAGGGCGGTAATGGTGCCGAAGCTCAGGAATAGGGCAAGCAGTACGATGATGAGCTTCATGCTGATCCCGATCAGGACTCCTCCCTGCGATCCAGCAGAAGAGAAGAGGCTCAGCGATCAGCACCACTGATGCGCGCCTATCCCTGCTCACTTTCTAAACTTGCTTTCGACGAGGAGTGATTCTGCTCGCTCTTGATGAAGGTGACACTGGCAACGTAGGCTCGGGTGGTGAAGCAAAGCGTGCTTGAATGACGGAGGAGAGGCTGGCTGCGATGCTGTTGGAGGGGCGAGGTCGCGAAGAAGCTCCGAGGCGATTTTATGCTGCTGCAGCCGCCAAGGCAGTAACGCTGCGTGGCTGACATCTACCTCGTGTCAGAAGTCATGGCTCTGCGCAATTAGGGGTCATCGGAACATTCGCGCGCTCTGCATACTCAGAGCTACTCGGAACATTCTCTTCCCATCCGTGAATACTCGAAACCTTGAAGGTTGGGCTCAGACCAGGCTCTGGGCTGACCCTGACTAGCTCGGAAGTCTCGGATTTTTTCTCTACTCACTTTGGAGAGGGAGGAAGGGCCGGGCAATGGTGATACACGAGCGGCGCAAAGATTGAGGAGCGAAAAGGTGTTCTGCCTCCTTGGACGGGCTCGCACGACGGCAAAGCTGACGCGAACTCAACTCTCTTTGGCACTCGATGAGCTGGCCACGGAATGCCTGCACGAATGTGATGTCTCACTATGACGGATTGAAGGTTGTAGAATCAAGTGGCGCGTTCTTGGACTGAGGCTTAGGCACGAGATATTTTTGTTGGCCTTGCGCCCACCAATTTTCCGACTCATAGGTGACAAGCCTCGCAAAAGCGGTCGGACGAGTCAGGTCTGCCAGAGGGGTCACTCAGGTGTGATTTCAAGCGCCTCATATGGATCGGCGGGCTTTGACTCAAATCGCATGGTTCACGAGCGACACTCGGCGTTCTGGATGTACTGAATTTTTACAGCGTCTTTGCCTCATGCTCACTGGAAGCACGAGAACTGCAGACATCACGAGGGAGCCCAATTTTGGTCTTGCACTTGCGCGCGAGGCTGCTAAGATGCTGAACACACCTAGGAACAGTCGTTGGAAAGGTTTGCCGGACCAAGACCCCAAATCTTCGGCCAGTAAGGACACTTCTCCTTTTTCTTCTTTTTCTGATTCTCGGCCTCGCGCTGGGTGAGCTGTACGGTCGACTCTTGTCCGCGCTTCGAGACATGCAAATCCGTCTGACCAGGGCGCATTGGGTCTTGATCGCAGCTCAGAGGCCAGTGAGGATGCAACGCTCAAGCATTCATCTTACTCACCGTCGCAGGAGCAGGAGATGGGACGGGGTGGGCCGCCACAGCGCCGAGGCTGAAGGCGAGACCGATCAGAACGAGCACAGGCCTCATGCTGAATGTTCAAGCTAGGTTCGACTTTGCGAGAACAAGAGGTTACTTACTTTGTAGGCAAGACGATTGGGTCCAAGGAAGAAACCGCTCACTCACTCTGTACTATTCGAGTCTGACGAGATTGGTTGAGAGTTGGAACGAGCTTGTCGCTGGAGTTCTTCAACGTTCAGAGCTTTTGGAGTGGAGGATGCAAAATTTGATCGGGAGAGGGCTTTTGGGCACTACTTGTACCTTTCGAGGAGAAGCAAGCTCGTGGCAGGCACACTCCAGCGGGCTAGGGGACTCACACTCACACTCAGACTCACACTCACACTCACACTCACCATCCTGGCAGCCATGAGTGCTAACCATAAAGCAGCCGCCTCGCCTTTCGGCTGCACATATGCGTTTCCTTCGAAGCAATGCATTGATACATGAGTGTATTGCTGATAGCGTTGGGCTATTTCGTCTGTCCAAAGGAATCGCGTTTGGTACCGCATTCAAAATTCCTACCTCGATTGGGCCTACTTCTCCGACGCACCTAGCCCTTGAAGCCCCCCCCCCCCCCCCCACCCTCTCTCTCTCTCCCCTAAAGAAAATTCACCAGGTCGTCTAAAGGTGAGTGGTCATCATCGCTGCATGGTGAATGTGCTACTTGCTGCTACACTCAGGCATGGCGTTGGAACCTTTGACTGAATGCGCATCGAGCTGCTGCAAAGCAGGCACGGCTAGCTGCTTGATTTGTTGCGCACGCCCAGCACAGCACAGGAACGCCTCGATCGCGTGCTTGCTGTGGTCGTCTGGTGTCCAGAGACATCAACATACACACCTGATTTGTGTTTTGTGTTTTGTGATTGTGAGTGCTTGCGCACCCAGGTGACGCGCGCGTCCGCGCCCTGCTGTGCCTATGTGTATGCTCACACTATCGCGGAACCGCATATATCATCCAGTCGAGGCAATGCATCAATCTCTTCACAAGGACCGGACAGACCACGAATTGAGACCATGCAGCATCCAAGCATCCACCTTGTGCCGGTATTTCTATATGCGCAGCTGTCTTGAGAAGCATGCATCGCATCCACAATTGCTGATGGCGTCGACCTTTTGCTTGACTAGTGGCCGGCACTGTGGCTCCCCACTCACGGAGTGCCACTCATGATCATGATACCGCAAGCAGGCGAGCGTCGCACTGCCGTGCCAACACTGCACGCAATCGCGAATCATCTCTTCGCCTTGCACTGATCATCCCACCAAGCACCCACTCTGGAGCGCGAGATCGGGCGCACTCGTCGTCGGAGTCCAGCATGGATTGTTTGTCGTTGTGAAAAGAGACCACAATAGCCAGAAAGGCTGGATCGCAGGGTTCGGAGACAAGATGCACAAATTGACACGTGATGCTCCGCAGAGCATGATGTGGGTCACATCGCTGGTCATGGGGGACCTGTGCAAGGCTTGAAGGGGCCTTCGGGCAAGACAGCTGGGCCTACGCCTCCCGGCTCAAAGTACTTGCATTCGGTGCGCTTAGACAGAGAGGCAATGTCCTTGAATATCGGGAGGTATTCGATGAATGGGCCAGGATCGAGGGGGCTCGGGTCAGAGAAGAGATGGGAATGCCAGCAGCCAAAAAATTTCGCGTTGCACTCACGATCGTAATGTCCGATGGTGGGACTGGCATAGCCTTCACGATAGCTAGCCCGCCAACGAAGGAAGCAATAAGGAAGATGAGCTTCATCTTGAAATTGCTCGGAGATTGAGCGTGAGGCCTGTACGCACAAAGGTGAGCTGTGGTCAGACCGTGTTGACACACGAGACCGGACACGATGACGCAAGCAAATTGTTACCCAGCGAGCACTTACTAATAATCTTGTACCGGCTTGAGAAGGATGGGAAGCTCTGTGAAAGCTGTGGAGCAAGAGGACTTGCTCTGGACTTTGGCTTCTTGAGGAAGCAGTCGTGATTCGGGCTACGCTTTCCCAGAAGCCATTTATATGATAGCTTTCTCTGGGACAAGCGGATGCGAACGCAGCTGCTTACGAGACCGACCAGCGCTACGTTTGGAACGACAACGCCCACTTTAGCTATACAGGGCACCCCAGTAGTCTACTTCATTGCCACCTCGGCCCTATAATTCCTAACGACGCGTCCGAATCCTACAGTGGCGACCTCAGAGTCAGCTACGGAGCATTGGGCAATGTCGAGGCGTCTCTATCCTACGCGCGTGATGAAGTTTGACGCTTGCTACGAGTGTGTGTCCAGAGATCCAAGGGGGCCCGTCGTATTCGGCGTTCCTACTCTGATCACTCTACTAACGACCGTCTCCTTCTCGCCTCGGATCTTCAAGGCGCGTTGCGTAGCCATTTCATCAAGATCTACGGGACAGAAGTACGGTCGGGAGGCTCCAGCACCTCACCTCGTGTCACCAGCGCTGATATGCGAACCTTGCGCTTTGTCTGATAGTGCTCCCGACCAGGGCCCTCAGTGATTCACATCCAAGCTTTTAGTCTGCTACTGTAGTACAATCAGGCCAGGCCATGAGTCTCGCTCTGCATATTCGAGCAGAGCTGTACCGAAGTGACGCTTGCTACCGACCGGAGATTGCACCCGGTGGCACGAGCCCACTCAGAGCCTTCAGAGTGCCGAGCAAGGGACTGTAGTACTGCACGCATCGCTGCGAGGACCAATGCGGGCGGTAAGAAACGACATACTTGGCGTTGATGAGGAACAACCTTCCAGGACCCCAATCTGCTCCATTTGTTGGAGCTGGCGTGGTATTGCGCATTGCATCTGATCGAGCATGCATTTGCAAAAGAGGGATCGGCAGCAACTGAAAGGGCGCTGTACGCAGCCACGCAATGTTGCCTTTTCTCCCCCCTTTTCTGCCCGATCGAGGTCAAGGCCGTTCAGCTCAATGGCATAGACCCAAGGGAAGGGAAGAGGCATGTGCGTCAATGTCGACCGCGATGCCCGACCTTCTTCCCCCTTCGTCGAAGCATCTTCCGCAATCCCTGGCGTGCTCGAGGACCAGTGTATGGATGCTCGAGGTCACGTCATTCCAAGAGGATTCGTCTGCCTTTCAGTGCTACTTGCCGGAACGTTTGCCACGAGATCCGCCAGGCCAGATGTAACGCAAAGAGGAATGCTGAGGCGTGGCTACATCTTCCTAGTACGTATTGCCTCTACGTCGAGGCGCAGGAGAGATCTGCTTCGATGTGCGCGTGGGCGACTTCGTCGTTGGCGTTGGCATGCCCACAGAGACCCTTGGCGCTTCGCTGCCTGCTGGCTGGTCGCACAGTGCGAAAAGGGAGCGATACACCACGGCCGGACCCACGCCGAATTCCTTTTTCCATCCGCAAATCTGCTTGGCTCTTTTGGCCAGTGGGACATGCTGCGCAAATTATGCAGTCGAACAGCGCCGGCGTCAGCATCGCTTCGGAAGCAAGGGTGTGATTGAGAATTCTGCGCTCACTGCGAACGGCAACTTTGCGTGGAGCATGGGCATGGAAGCGACGCAGTCCACGAGAATCAAGAATAGCACGAGGCACGAAAGTGCTTTCATGATGGCAAGACCACGAGTGGTGTGGAGTGATGCTATAAAGCTGAGCTTATGCGGACCGATAAAAGTCGGCAACATATGAGTGCACAGGCTAGACATTCGCTTAGACCGAACGGTCTGAATGATACTCACCTGAACGCGGCTGCTGGAGCTGGTCTATAGCTCGTGATTGGAGTGCCGGACTCACGTGTACACGCTGCGTTGTGGCGCTCTAGACTTGCAGAGAGATCGGTGCTCGATGTAGCAGGCGGGAAGCCACGCGTGACCAGATGACGCGGTGTCGCGGTGATCTGGCTGGGGCAATCAGAAAAAGAATGCCAGAGGGCATGCCAATCAGAAAAAAGAGTGCCAGAGGGCATGCCTCTTATGACAAGCAATGGCCGCTGCAGCGACATGTTGTGAATACATGTTGACGCGCATACATACCTACGACCTCATCAACAAGCTTCATATCCAGACTAGGGTGAGGTACGCAGCGTCTTGCAGCTCCAGATGAGCCTTCTCAGTCACTGCCGCCGCCGCCGCTCAAGCTAAGTGGGCTTCATGAACTGCCCACAGTGATTCGTCGCGGGCGGCATCTAGCGACTAACGTCCTGCTGGATGAAGCTGCAGATGAAGAGGTGCATCGAACTTGTAGACGGAGACCAGGGTCGACGTGGTCTCAAAAGTCTGGAGGTCTTAGCTTGACGACTCGTTGGATGAGTGTCCCGAAGTTGGGCTGACTGACCACGTGCCTTCGGCGTCAGTGCGAGAGACAAAGTCCTTGTGTATCCTGAGAACAGGACCGTCAGGTGGGTGGACGATTGGACGAGATCCGAGATCAAGCAAAGTTGTCGAGGCGTCAATGCAGTGTGTTGGAGACGGGCGCACGGCCGAGTTTCAGATCAGACCAGACTGACGGCAAGACGGAGTTGCGCCTCTGAAAAGGAGTTGTATTAAATTAACAAGGCGGCAACCTCCCGCCGTCGACCAACCGTTCGCCGGGCACGAGCTGCGCCAACCAAAAGCTTAGGCAACAGGCTGGACGGACCTCCTGTCCGTCGTGCCCGAGGTGTTTCCACCAGAGCCGGGCAAAACAAGTTCGATGTCGTCGTCCTCCGCGTCCTGAATCCGTGGTTGTCCATCTTCATCCTTGAGCGCGTCCTCGCTGAACTGCCCAGAACCGGAATTGACGCCGAAGCGCTGCGTCCGACGAGCAGCCAATTCGGCATCCGCATCGATCGGACGCGCACCAATCGAGCCATTGGACAAGCCCGAGTAGCCCGCGATATCTATCGCTCGACCGAGAGGATGCGCGAAGCGGCAGTCGGCTGAACATTGTGGGGTGTCATCATAAGACGCCAAATTCAGCGTAATGATAATAAAGTTGCATGACCTGGCATTCGCGTGCTCATTCCCGCACTCACCTCGCGTACACCCAGCCCCAAATCGGCACTTTGCCTCGCCACCCGGTGGCTCGTCACGTGCTTGCGCGTGCGCAAACTTACAATCCGCTCTGGTGCAAGCCGAACCAAATTTGCAGGGCACATTGGCGGGACTGAACTCGGCTGGCGTCGTTGGTGTAGTCGCGAGCGTACGGGCAGCAGGACTGGGTCCAGCTGCTCCAGTGTTCGGATCAAAGTGCGCGTAGGCACATTTTGCATTCGTGCAGGCTGCTTGGAATTTGCATGGAGTCTGAGATAGATCGACGCTGAGAGTTGATGCGCTCGCATTGTTGCGTCCACCTAGGAAGAGCTGTGCAGGGCTAACGTGACTCCTCGAACAATCTCTTTTGGTGCACGAAGCCTGAAACTTGCAAGGAGTGGGGTCGAGGACCAAGGGGTCTTCGGACTGGGCGTTGGCTGCAGGACCTCCCTTTGCTGATGCTGCAGATGGAGAAGGATGCGCGAATGAGCACATCGGATTGGTGCATTGTAGTCCGTACCTGCACAGTCCGGAGGATGCCGGTTGACTAGGCCAGTCGGAAGAATGTTGAACTGGCTGGCCCTCATCGACGCTCATCGCATCCGACGACGAGAATTGGTTGTTGGGTAGCATTGGATCGAGACGTTGGAGCAGGGGAGCAGACGAGCCATTGGTGCTTGTTTGAGGGGCCCATACGCCCGGACGTGCGACGTAGTGTTGAGCAGGCTGAGCGGGAATCGTCTGTTGAGCTGGCTCAAAAATGCCAGCTCGTGGATCCGGAACCCCGAAGCGCGAAAGGATTGAAGGCGCAGATTGAGCACCCGAAATGTCCGCTTTGTCTTGATGAGGAGCACCAGCCATGGCCCTGGCGAAGAGCGCCCCACCAGCACCTGCAGCCCCCCGCACCCTCAGCTGCCGAGGGCCTGTAGGTGGCGAGGTGCTCATCATGGCGGCATCTTCATCGCTCTGTGGTGGTTGCCGAACAGCGGGCATCGAAGCGAAAGCGGGCGAGTCCATCGCGGTGCGATTTCCTTCGCCCGGTAGATGTTCATGCGGGTATTGCTGGTCCCTGGCTGAGTGGTCTTGGCCGCCCCAGGCTCTGAGCCCTGGACCAGACCTGAAATGATCATCTCGCAATTGCCCGTTGGAGAAGTCGAAGCGACGATTCCTGTCTTGGGCCGCTCCCGGCCGGTACGTATCTGTCCGCCTGCCGAATTTTGATCTCTGAGGACTTCTGCTCCGCCTGCGCTCGCCTGAAAAGGGTCCTTGATCGTAGCCCAGTTCTTGCTTTCGGCGCTCGGCTTTCGGGCTTCTGCTCCTCCTCTGCTCATCTGTGCCACCGCTACGTATGCTCTCCACGATCTCTGGCGCCTCTCTGCTGCTACTTCCACTACTGCCCACTACGTCTCGCTGATTCGCGTCTCTTGCGCCTCTGCACATCTCCTGCTCCAACCATTTGCCAAAATTGCGCGGGTCAAAGTCGTTGCCAATGATCTCTTCCATTTCCGCAGTGACTTGGTCCACGGATTTCGAGTTGCTGAGCATCACCACCACTGTCACAGCGCGTCGACGATGAGGAGGGAAGCAAATGATCAGGATGTATGCGCTCGTGTGCGGCGCTCGGACGCCTCGTCCGCAACTCACCGTACTCTGCCATCACCTCGTCATCCTTATCTGCCCAACCCCGACTTGCCAGGTGAGACTGGATGGAGGTTTGAAGAGCTTGCGCAGCTGGCGTGTTGGCTTCGATGGTCAGCGACATGTTGATTGGCGCTAGCGGGGTGTAAAGGGGTGGATGAGAGAGCCAAAGTCACGAGCGAGAGGGCTCTTGGAAGAGCTGTCTCTGCGACTGAGTGGTGAGCGAGAGTCTTGAGTGTATCGCGTCCCTGTGAGCTCAGTCGTGCTCCAGCAAGAGGCTTGTGACTGCGACAAATCAAGATGTTGGCTGATGGTTGGTGGCGAGGTGGGAAGGAAGGATGCACACAAGTGATGCATGCATGCATGCTCCTTTTGGATGCCTCGTCGTTGTCGTGTGCCGTGTGCCCCCGTCGGCCTTTTCTCCTGCCGCAAACGACGGCTCGCAGCAGAGGGGAGTCGCGCGGACGCATAAGTTCAAGCCAGCCCGCGGCTTGATCTTCATGCTGCGCGCATCACGTGAACGATCGATTTGACCTCAAAAAGAAATCGAAATCAAGAATCAAGAATTTTGAATGTCCTGCTGCACGCGCGCGCATACACACGCGGGGGGGCTTCACTTAATTTGACTTCTTTGATTCACGATTGAACGTTGACGGTCCATAGGCTTTCCTTCCATCCGAACGGTCAGCAGCAGGTATCTCTGTTCAAGTCGCACGTTGGGATCGCGGTTTCAACTCACAACGCTCCTGCCGGCACTGGCACGACGCAAGCACAGCACACAGGCGGCCAAATGGCTCAGAACATCCTCTCGAAGGTCCCCGGCCCATCATGATTTAAAGCAGGACCGCCATAGGGCTGCGCACCGACCAGCATCCAATAGACTGACACGCTCACATCCATCTGCATTTTCTCGGAAATGTCCGCTGACAAAGCACGGGAGAAAGAACAGCGTCGCGCGGAGAAAGAGGCGCGCAGGGCTAGGAGAGCAGCGAAGCGTCAACGAAAGCTGCAAAAAGCTGAGCGGCGGGAGAGCAGAAGGGCGAGGAAGGAGAGGAAAACTGTCAGCAGCTCAACACTTGCGCCGGCACCTCTGGCTCATGCTAAAGCGGCAATCGGCAATGCCGGAGAGCCATTGGGCGCCTTGTCTGTGTCCAGAACGAGGGAAGCGAACAGCTCTACTGCTGCGGCTGGAGCAAAGCGATCGGGGCCAGTGACGGAGAGCGGAGCGGATCGACACACTGGAAAGAAGCGCCGTCTGGAAGCGAAGGGCGGCTCAAAGCGCTCCGCCGATGTCACTGACAGCACAGTCACCGGCGCAATCGCGACTAGCAATTTCTCTGCCCCACTAGTAGACTTGTCCAAGCAGCAGCTCAAGATCAAGGCCGCGGAGCTGGTCGAGCGTTTCCTTTCCGAGCAACTCTCTCAAGGCGTCCGCAAGGAGGATATCATCCCTGAGCAAGTAGATAAATCCCGGCTGACCCTGGGGTCAAAAGCTAACGAAAGCAAAAGAGAACGCAAACAGCATGACAAGCTGGCAGCGTATGTTGAGAAACGTCTGGAGAAGGCAGTCAGGAAGCGAGAGACTGGGTTAACGGCGCGTGCACAGCTAGCACCGGCTTCAACCTCAGCAGTGCTCTCTTCAAGCTCGATTCAGATCCCAGCGACGCGCGCGACACCTGCTGCACCAGTGAGCCCGGCGATACAATCCACAAACCCCTTTCTGCGCGCACAGCAACAAAAGCAACAGCAGCAGCGAAATGCCCACGCTTCGCATTTCCCGCCCAACTTTGACTTTAGATCGATGACAGATCGGCTCGTTGCTTCTTCTTCATCTCAACGTGCTTCATCACATGGGCAAAGCGCCTCCAGCGCCGGTCAGGAGACATCTTCCTCCTCTGATCAGGCTTCGCGAGTGCCATTCGCAGCGAATAGCTCGAGCGCAGGCATTTCCGGCCGCTCAATCGGCGCGGGCATCTCATCCTACGGCGCAGGATCAGGTATGGGCTCCACCATCGCGGACAAAAGATGGGCCTCGGCCGGCCCTATCCCGAAAGCCGAGGCGAATCAGCGCGAGAACAAGGAGGCATTGATTGCTGCGAATATGGACTGCTCTCACACTGACATGTTGGAAAAGCTCTACATGCCTAAACAGTTCAAGTGGCTCAAGGAGGCCTATGGCTTGGAGTGGAAGTCTAGTCACTTCAGCAAGGCGGAGGATGCTGTGATCGAACAGGGCGCGGAAGAGTTTGCCAGGGTGAGCAGGAAACGCGAGCCGATACGCCGATTGTATGCGCTTCGATGACTGCTGCTGACTACATTCAGGACCCTCCGTGCAACCTAGAACAATGACATGACGGTGGATAATGTAAAGGGCTTGTTCCTAGATCGACCAACGGCAGAACATGCACGGCTGTACGCCAGTCTCACATCGTACCTGGGTGAGAGAAGTCCTGGCTCCCGCGTGCGCATCTTGACGACCGCATACTAATATCCTGAGCACTTCACGTCATGTACGAACAGTACGAAAGCTCGGGGATCGGCCTGCGCGCAATTTGCGGATACACTGCAGTGCAATGTGGAATCCGGACAGAGTGATCAAGGGTACATGGAAAGTGCAAGAAGTGGAAGGATTGATGCAGTACGTCACTAAGCAAGGCGCACAGCCTAGTCGGAACAAGAACTTGGCCGGGCTGATCTTTCTTTCGGTCATGCTCATCTCCCGATTGCAGAGCTTATGACCGACATGGCCCCCGCTGGGAGCGAATAGGCAACGAGCTTAACAGGCCTGGACATGCTTGTAGGGCGCGCTACGCTTTCGAGCTCGGCAAGAGAACTGCCGAAAAGGGTAAATGGTCAGAAGAAGAGAGTCTCAGGCTGCTGCAGGCGGTGGAGGACCAGTGTGAGAAGAGGGGTATTCAACCTGCGGACATTTTGAAAGGGGATCAGAGATTCTCGTGGCTCGCGGTCGAGAAGGGGATTAAGAGCAGAACTGCCCAGATGTGCAGGGATAAATGGTCAGTGCTTCTTCTCCAGAGGCCATGTCGATTCTGTGCCGGGCTGGAGGAGTACGAAGCTGATATTGCTTGAGGCTGTACTCATACCTCGAATAGGGAAACCATCTTCTGCAGATCAGAGCGCGCGAAACGAGGACAGCCAATCAAGTGGATTCGTGCTCGTGATGACTTTCTCTTGATGGGGCTGTGAGTTTTATGCGAGGCACAATGGTCGGACGCTTCGTTAATTTCCCGATGCAACTCCTTGCCGTCGCAACTATGGCAGGCTCGAGACGCAGACTCAAGCTATCGATGAGAATGACGACATCTTGATCCACTGGAGAGATTTCCAAAAGGAAGACTGGTGCTGGGACGTGGCGTCGATGCAGCGTCGATGGGCTTCCTTGAAACAGCGACATGCCCCTGACGAGGCGACGATGAAGGGTGAGTGCGTGGACATTGCTGCCAGCTGCGGTGCGGATCAGCTCGGGCGAGGCGATCCGTGTCTAAGCGTGCTTTCTCCCCTTCCCCACAGATGCACTTGCCAAGATTACAGGACCTGTCACGGCTGCTTATGAGGAATGGCAAGCCCAGGGAAGTCCCTTGAACTCGCATCCCGTCGATGCGTTGGGCAGACCATCCAGCTCGACCACAAGGCTACCTCGGAAGACCAAGTCCCAGATTCAGATGGAAGACCTGATTGACACTGATGAAGAGGTTTGATACTAGCATAGCGGTCTACCCCGCTGCTGCCTCGTGATTTACAATCGCAGACTTGTATTCTAGTGAGCGTAACACACCACACACAATGTCCACTTACAAGACACTGACCGACGTGACCGCCGAGCCAGCGGAAGCACGATTGTACGGCTGGCAGCGCGTGGTTTGACAACCTTTCGGATTTCGTCCAGCTCCACCTCACAACCAGACTTTCTGCAGAAGACAAAGGTACACCTTGTAGCCAACATCCACGACTCTCTCTCCTTCATTCAATGAAGCAGCGTCTTGACCTGTCTGCACGAGATCGGCATGCCCCAAAGAGACTTCTTCCTGTGGCCGGCTTTCCAAATCCAAGGCGAGAGGAATATACTTGAGGACAAAGCCACCTCCAGACTTTCTGACTGCTGCTTCTAGCGCCTTGGTAGCGCGTCGAAGCATCAGATGTTCTGCCGTCATGAGCAGCGCTACGCCTCCAGCTTTCAAGACGTGGCAAAAAGCCTGTACGAGTCGAGGATACAATTTGGAAAGTTGCTGATGAGAAGAGACTCGATGTCCCCACGGAAGATCCGTAATGATGCCATCCATCGTGCCTCTACCTCCCACAAACGTTGCCAGAGCTGACGGATCGGCGGAGTCGATGCGTGCGAGCTGGATCGTTGCAGCGCTGGACGAATCGTGCGAGCTCTCGCAAAGACGAAACATCCGCGAAGCTCGAGTCACCTCGTCTTGATCCACATCGCAAGCGTACACCTCGATATTTTGCTGCGCTCGCGCTCGCAGAGCGGCAAAGAGCTCCACGGCAATTCCTCCGCTGCCGACGCAAGGCTCCAGAATGCGAAGCTTTTCGTCTGGCGAGCGATCGAATGGGATGGGAAAGGCGATAGTCATCAGGTAGGCTCTGTATCGCGCTAGAGCTGTACCGCCTTCCATGAGATCCGTTGGGATGGGCGGACGGTGGGCCGGTGATTTTGGCAAGATGTGACTTGAGTCAAGATCGGCGAACCGGTCCGACTGCTCGCCCTCCGATGGCCTTGTAGTTCTTGCGGAGGGCAGTGCCAAACACCAAGCCACGCTGCCGGCAGGAGTGGTGACGGTCAAATCTTTGGCAATCTCGGCGGCACTTTGTCCCGTGCCGAGGCTCCGAACGAATTTGAGGGTCAAGTTCAAAGAAGGCGGCGGATCGCGCAGAGAGACGTGCCAAGGGTTTGAGCTCGATCCGCGTTCTTTCTCTAGATCTTGAAGCCACAGACCAACCTAGCAAGTAGGCAAAGTGTTGTCTGGAAGTCAGTCTCGTACAGAACACCACTTTGGTCCGCCCCCATCGACAAGCTCACCGATTCGCCCAGCTGGCTTTCCAAGTACAGCTGGGTTAGCGTTGGAAAGATGTACGTCGCTCTTTCAACCGTGGCCCTGAACGTGCGCAGGGTCTCGCTTGACACATCGACCCCAAACGCAGAAATGATGCGCGTCCACAAGTCGATCAAGCCGCCCTTTTGCGCACTCTGCATCGTCATCTTCCAGCCCTGATCCAGAAAGTGCAGCAACTCGAGTTCTGAAGGAGCCTGTCCCTGCTCGTTCAGCTCGATCTTACCAGCACCTGGAGTTGCAGACTGCGCTTTGCCAGCTTGCGATTTTTGCTTGGTGTTTGGTTTGTGGCGCAACTTCGTCGCAAGCCGCTCCACCACCACCTCTGCCGCTTCATTTTTCGGCTCGCTGTCATTCTGCGTGATCGGCGCCGCTGCTGGTGCGATACCTCTCTCTTTGCGCCTTTCTGCAGCTTCTTCCACCTCGCGCTGCTGAGCCTCTTTGCGTTTCTGCTTCTTCTCAGCTTCGGCAGCTTTGCGGTCGTTTCTTTTGCGCTCGCCGATAGCTTCCCTATCGGCTTGCAAATGTGCCAACAGAGGAGCAGGAAGTTGGCAACGATGCAGCAAGAGACTGGCCGATTTGACGCTGTCCAGGGCACCTGAGATGTACAAACGTAGGGCGAGCTGGGACGCTTTGCCTGCTTGCACGATCAAGTGGCCGCTATGTAGAGCGCTGTGGCTCAAGTTGCGACCTACGTCTGGTTGGTAATGTCGGAGTACAGCCTCGATGTCGCGCTGAGCATAATCTTCAAGACCTGCCCGAAGCGCTTGCAAGTTCAATATCCTGTCAATCATGTTCGCTCGCACACTCACTCACCTCCCCACACTTCGAGCATTACGGATGGTGTGGCGCTCGGCAGCTCGACCTCTGTCGGGAGGGATGCGCAAAGCTGCGAATCGACCAGTGGTCTGCGCGATCGAGCTGCGGAAGCCCGAGCAGACTCGTCCATCTCTCCCGAGCCAGGGCGCGTCGTTGAAGCAGGCGTCGTGGTACTAGACGACTGAGACTGCGCGTCCAAATCCTGCCTGCTCTGCTGGAGCGTGGGCAGAGCCGAATCGTGCATGTAAACATGCAGCTTACCATTCGGGCTCGTGGAGACTTTGGCATCTTGCGCCTGAACCACTGTCGGCCAGACGCTCTTGTCCTCGCTGGCTACGGCGGGATTAGCATCAGATGCGGCTCGAGAGCGCCAATCTTGCCGTGCCCACCAAGGCAGCTCGTCTTCGAATGCCCATTCGTCCGTCTCGTACTTGATGGCGTGCAAGTAGATGTACAGCGAAGAGAGAGGTGGATCGGGCTGCAGTGGACTGCCTCGAAGAGGCGAGCGGGACGACGGGGAGGATGAGTAGTCGTGGCGCACGCGTGTCGCTGGTGAGCAAAACTCACACCTTGCAAACCTCGCAAGACATTCCTTCGTCCGCGGGGTTGACGAGTTCAGCTTGAGCCCCAGTCGCATCTCTTCTGCGAGGATCGGCGGCGCTCTGAGCATTCGGACCTTCGACGCGAGGCAACTGCCATCCTTGCTGCTGGCACAATTCTCCAAACTTGACTTCATCCCTCCACCTCGCCCAATCCTCCTTGTCGTCCTTGTCCGTCTTGAGCGCCGCAACGACTTTTGCGATTTCGGGACATCCGGCCGTTTCGGCATTATACCCGTCCATGCCCGGTTCCAAGTTGTTCCTGTCCTTACCGATCGTCACTTTTGCCAAATTGCAGGGATGCACGTCGGGGTCGCTGATCCAGACCTCGTGCGCGTAGATCGGATCGTTGGGTATGGCATGACCGAGCCATTGCAGATGCACGCGGATCTGGTGCGTGCGACCAGTGATGGGTCGACAGAGCACCACGCTCGTATCGCTCGTCTCGTCATACGACATTCTCTGAAACATTGTCTCGCACGATTTGCCGAGCGGATGCACCACATTCAGACCTGTCTGCCTGTCCACGCCCAAGATGGGCTCTCTGCACGTGACGATTTCCGAATCGGAAGTGGGAAATTTGCCACGAGCTCGAGCGACGTAGGCTTTTCGGACCAGACCTTGTGTCATGTCCATGGACAATTTTTGGGCGGTAGGACGTGTCAAGGAGAGAATCATGATTCCCGAAGTGAGCCTGTCGAGTCTGTTTGACGTGTAGATGAGGTCCAGACCGAGCGCTTCTTGGAGCATGCTGAGCAGCGTGTGCTTGGCGTATCTGCCTGCTGGATGAACAGGAATGCTTCCGGGTTTGACGATGACCAGCCTACCGTGTTCCGGCGAGTGGTAGAGGATCTTGATTGGCTCGGCCGAGACTGCCGGTTCATGACGATGAATCTTGTTCAGCATCGTGTCTCCATCCTTCAGCACATACGTCGGATCGACGATGTTGCTGTTGATGGTGACGTAACCTGAGCGAATGGCCCAGACGTAGTATTCCAACGTGCGATCTCGAAATTCGGTGACGAAAATGTCTACCAGCGATCGACCTTGCCACCTCTGCTTGGCTCGCGTCTCGAATGCGTGCCAGTAAGGTTTGCAGGTTCGCAAGGCGCCGCAAGGCTCCCTGTCGCTCGTCTGAGCTGCCACTCGCTCCGCTTTGCTCGTAGACGTCATTTCAATCTCAGCTTTTGCTGATCATTTCGAGGCTCTGCTTGTATTTTGGCTCTATCTTGCGCTCTTGATGTGTGCAAAGCAAAATCCTTCGCACACGTCTTGACCCTTGCCCTTCAAACACCGCGCCGAATCGTGAATGTGCCTGCCCAGCCTCATCCAATCTCGACCATCCACCTTTTGCTGGCTATCGCTCATCCGCTTCTGCGAGTGAAATGTCCGATTCTTCCTCAACTTGATTGATCTCTCTTCATCGATTCCCGTTCTTTGTCAATTCTAAGTCTCGACTTGGATGCCTCTCCTTCTTGTGCGTCCCACGGCATGGACAAGATATGATGAAGAGGTAGGTAGGTAGGGGCGCCCGCGGGCAGCACAGACGCACACAGACCTGTGCAGAAAACTTCAAACCTTTCAAATTTTTCAACTTTGACTCTTTGAATCCATAATCCAAAATGATCTGTGGATGCATGCATGCATGGGACTCAAGACTTTGTATCACCGTCCCAATCAAAACGAGTCTGATGCGCCAAATATATCTGCGTTGTAATCACGAATCTGGCATCCAAATAACTCTGTTATCCCGCGTGATTCACACCTATTGTCCCGCTACGGCCAATCAATCAGGAATCCCTCCTCCTCCTCCGCCTCCTCCTGCACTCAAACTAAAGACCAAATGATTCCGACTCCTTTAGTGTTCAGTCAACTTACAGGTCACTTCTAGAACATTTTTGGCCTTCACTTTTTGACTCGGCTCATCTGCCCAAGCGATTTCTGGCTTTTGACTGACTTGGCAAGGATTCAGAATCCTTAATTATTCTTGAGTCTAATTTAACTACTCTTGATTATTGATGATTTTCGCCACGTGTGGCAGCAGAGATCACGTGGACTGCCTCTTGACTCACCATGGCAGCGTCATCAGGACTCGTGACTCAAGACTCACTTGACTCACAATCAGAATCTTGAATGGTGAATCAAAAATCTTGAATCAAGAATTCAAAATTGACTGTTGACTATGCTCGAGATTCCAGCGCTAGCACAGCCTGAGCGCGCGCGCGCGGGGCACGTCTGCCTCTCAGCGCAGCATGCAGCATGCAGCAATTAAGCACTACACCTCACGACTCACTGCGCGCTCCCTCCCCGCCATAGTTGCAATAAGCACAGCACCGCACCGCACAGTCTGAGCGCTGCTGCAGCCTAGCTGAGCTTTCAAGGCTGATGTACGCTGCTGGCTGGCTGGCTGGCTGCAGGCAGGGCATGCATGCAAGCAAGCACCGCTCGCTCATCAGCACGGCTCACGGCTCACGACTTTTGACGACGCTGTTGTGGCTGCAGACGGGAGCTCGTTGGTGGTTCTGAGTGATGCAACTTCACCCTGCCATTCACCATTCACAATTCACGCACGCATCCACGCATCCACGCATTGCGCTGCAACAGCGCTGCTTCGCATCTTGCCTCATCACCGCAAACATACTCTTGACTCAAACTCACCTCGTGGCACAGCTGCGCGGATCACGCGCTTGAAGAGAGACGATCGACCGCAACACGCATTCGCATTCAAGCCGAGCTTTTGGTGATCAAGCTTGACGACAACGCGCACACAAGGGCTCCCGCCCGGCTTCTCCTCACACTCACGACTGTCGGATTGTCACACCACTACCACACCGCGCCTTCCTCGCCTGCACGACCTCTTGTGTGGTCTGCCAGGGGGCACATCACTTCATACCAGCCGCTCAGACGTAGGAGTTCAAGGCGGACTTGCGCTGCCACACGACAGCCAACATGCCCGGCATGGACGATTTTGACGATTTCATCACGGCGGGTGCGCCCCCTCCCGAGGGGCTCGCGTCCCATCAGCCCGTTCATCGCATGGCGGGTTCATCACAGCGAGGTGCCGCGCAATCCACCTCGTACGGCGCCGGCGGAGCTTACGGAGCCTCATCAGACACGCTAGGCTTGGGCCCTTTTGCCGACTCTTCACAACGAGCAGGGGCGGGTGGGGGTGTGCAAGCCAGCCACGTGCTTGTGGACGCTGATGATCCCGATCTGATGGGCGATGAGGAAGACTTTGGATTTGGAGGATCGCGCGCCGGAGCTACGGGCTCGGGCTCGGGCTCGGGTGGTGAACATGGTCTGTACGGCGGCTATCCACCCAACCCTTCCAGGCCGGGCATGGGCATGGCTGCGGCAGACTCGTACGGCGCCAGCAGTTTAGCACCGCCCAATGCGTTCGGAGGTTCAGCAATGGGCTATGCTGGAGCATCGACGGACTCGGGTCTGGGACTGGCAGGAAATGCGGCACCCCCTGCTGGGTACACGTCGGATAGGTATGGACCGTTTAGCGATCCATATGGCGCAGGGGGAGGGGGCAAGGCGATAGAGGCGGATGACGACTACGAGCCCTACGATGCGCCAGATGCTAAAGGAGCCAGGTCGGGCGGGCCGGGCGGCAGGGCGGGCGATAGAGGTGTTGGGGGAGCAGCCTCGTCTGCATTGAGCGGTGGAGCAGCTGGTCAGTCTCGAAGGATGCCACGAGACAGTCCGTTTGACGGAGTGAATCGATCCATCAAGTCGTTGCGCGCCGACTTTAGGGGTTTGGTGGGCGGGAAAGCTGCTAGAGAAAAAGTGCCGCAGGGAGACCGCGTGGTCAGGCTCAACGATCCCACTACAAACGATAAGGAAAATTTTGCGGATAATTGGATCAGCACGAGCAAATTCAACGTCATCACTTTTCTGCCCAAATTCCTCTATGGTGAGCACAGCGTTCTCACAAATCCTCAACGGGTGCCCTGCACTCGCTCTACTCGGAGCGTCTGCTCAGACAGCAGTCTACGATGGCCACCGTGATCGCCCCTGTGTGGTCAAGATGTCGCTGTGGCCAATCGCTGATGCCGATTTCTCCTACACGCAGAACAATTCTCCAAATACGCAAACGTCTTTTTCTTATTTACTGCCTGCATTCAACAGATTCCAAATGTCTCGCCTACGAACAGATGGACCACCATCGTACCCCTTGGACTTGTGCTGCTGGCCAGCGCGTTCAAGGAGGTAAAGGAGGATATCGTGAGTGGCACACTGCTGCCCTGGCGCCATGCGACTCTTTTGACCTTCTTGCCCATTTACAGAAACGCCATCAATCAGACGCCGAGCTGAATGCGAGGATAGCACAAGTGCTCGATCCTGGCACGGGCACTTTTGAGCCTCGGAGATGGCGGCATATCCGAGTAGGTGATGTCTTGCGTGTGGAGAGCAACGAGTTCTTCCCCGCGGACTTGGTCTTGCTCAGCAGTTCGGAGCCAGAAGGGCTCTGCTATGTCGAGACGGCCAATTTGGATGGGGAGACGAATCTGAAGATCAAGCAGGCATCGCCAGAGACGGCGCGCTTCACCTCTCCTCAACCAGTATGCGCTCTGCGGGGCCATCTCAACTCGGAACATCCCAACAACAATCTGTACAACTTCGATGCCACGCTGCATTTGCAGACAAGCGCCACGCCTGGTTTCAGCGGTGTGCCCATGAGACAGGTGCCGCTCAGTCCAGACCAGCTCTTGCTGCGAGGCGCGCAACTGCGCAACACGCCTTGGGTGTACGGTTTGGTGGTGTTTACGGGACACGAGACGAAGCTGATGCGCAATGCAACATCGACCCCTATCAAGAGGACGGCGGTGGAGAAGCAAGTCAATGTGCTGATCTTGTTGCTCTTCATCTTGTTACTGGCGCTCTCCATCGCTTCGGCCATCGGGTCCATCGTCCGTAACACTGCATATGCTGGCGAGATGCAGTACCTTTTGTTGGGCCAGGACGGCAAGGGCAAAGCCCGCGTGTTCATCGAAGATATCCTCACTTTTGTGATCGCTTATAACAATCTGATTCCCATCTCACTCATCGTCACCATCGAGGTCATCAAGTACCAGCAGGCTCAGCTGATTAGCTCGGATCTGGACATGTACTACGCTCCCACGGATACCCCCGCGCTTTGTCGCACTTCGAGCTTGGTGGAGGAGCTGGGTCAGATCGATTACATCTTTTCCGACAAGACGGGCACGCTCACCAGGAACCAGATGGAATTCAGGCAAGCCAGCATTGGCGGAACAGCGTACACAGATATGGTTGATGAGAGCAAGCAGGGAACCGGAGAGATTGGACCTGATGGCAGGGAGATCGGAGGACAGAGGACTTGGCACGAACTGAAGGCTATCATGGACGGCTCTGCACCGGACGACGGAAGCAGTGCGGTCATTGACGAGTTTTTGACTCTGTTGGCTGTGTGTCATACCGTCATTCCAGAGAAGAAGGAGGATCGCATCGTGTTCCAGGCTTCGAGTCCTGATGAGGCTGCTCTCGTCGACGGCGCGCAGTCTCTCGGCTATCGCTTCACAGTGAGTTGTTCGAGTTCTTTGCGCTAGGACTACCGCCGCTCCGAGTTCTTTGTGCTAGGACTACCGCGCGGTCGCTAATCTGTGTCGAAATCAACAGGTCCGCAAACCGCGCTCTGTCTTCATCGAGGTGCGCGGCATGCAGCTGGAGTACGAGATTTTGAACGTTTGCGAGTTCAATAGCACGCGCAAGCGCATGTCGACGGTGGTCAGGTGCCCTGATGGCAAGATCAAGCTGTACTGCAAAGGTGCGGACACGGTCATCATGGAGCGTTTGTCTAGCACGCAGCCTTTCACTGAGCAGACGATGATCCATTTGGAGGTGAGCTCGTCATGCGTTGTGGGCTGAGCTTGTCAGAAAGACATTTCACCGACGCTCCTTTGGCTGCCCGCGCAGGACTACGCTACGGACGGCTTGCGAACGCTTTGTGTCGCCATGCGAGAGATTCCTGAACAAGAGTACAGGCAGTGGGCAAAGATCTATGAGCAAGCTGCTGCGACGATCGTCGGACGAGGGGATGCGCTGGATCAAGCAGCTGAGATCATCGAGCGCAACATGTTCCTGCTGGGCGCCACCGCGATCGAAGACAAGCTGCAGGATGGTGTGCCGGAAACTATACATACGCTACAGACTGCTGGGATCAAGGTTTGGGTGCTGACGGGCGACAGGCAAGAGACTGCGATCAATATCGGTCTGTCTTGCCGACTGATCTCCGAATCTATGAACCTCGTGAGTCGCACTGTGCGCAGACTGAAATGGGACGCACGCTGATACGCGAGACGTGCGCGATGCAGGTCATCGTGAACGAAGAGAATGCGCACGACACGCACGCTTTCTTGACCAAGCGTCTTGCGGCTGTCAAAGCACAGCGGGAAGCGGGCGAACATGAGGAGTTGGCTCTGATCATCGATGGAAAGAGTCTGTCTTTTGCGCTAGAGAAGGAGCTGTCAAAGATCTTCTTGGAATTGTCCGTCATGTGCAAAGCGGTCATTTGCTGCCGGGTCTCGCCACTTCAAAAAGCCCTCGTGGTCAAGCTGGTCAAGAAGAACCTCAACAAGCTGCTGCTCGCGATTGGCGATGGTGCGAACGACGTCAGCATGATCCAAGCGGCACACGTCGGGGTAGGTATCAGCGGTGTTGAGGGTCTTCAGGCGGCACGGTCAGCAGACGTCGCCATCAGCCAGTTCCGATATCTGCGGAAATTGCTATTGGTGCACGGATCGTGGAGCTATACGAGGTTGAGCAAGATGATCCTGTACTCGTTCTACAAGAACATTACGCTCTACATGACGTTGTTCTGGTACTCTTTCAACAACTCCTTTTCGGGTCAAGTCGCCTTCGAATCCTGGACACTATCCTTCTACAATGTCGTATTCACCGTCCTGCCCCCACTCGTCATCGGCATATTTGATCAGTACGTGAGCGCTCGTATGCTCGATCGGTACCCTCAGCTGTACGGACAGGTCTTCTTCAACAAGCGACGCTTCTTGGGATGGACCATCAATGCGTTTTATCACTCTCTCATCGCCTACGTCTTTGTCACCGTCGTCTTTTGGAACGGAGTGCAGCTGAATGGCGGTTACAACTCGTACGGATGGGTGTGGGGCACCGTGCTCTACCTTGCTGTCCTGGCAACCGTGCTGGGCAAAGCGGCGCTCGAGACGACGCTATGGCAAAAGTACTCTTGGCTGGCCATTCCTGGCTCCTTTGTCTTCACGCTGGCCTTTATCGTGGTGTATAGCCTGATCGCACCTCGACTAGGCTTCTCCAAGGAACTGGACCACATCAACGGACCACTGTTCGGCTTCAGCCTGACATGGTTCTGCATGCTCGTCGTGCCCGTCGTCTGCCTGCTGCGAGACTTTACGTGGAAGTACGAACAGCGAACGTATAGACCGCGCAACTACCACATTGTGCAAGAGGTGCAAAAGTACAATTTGCAGGATTACAGACCCAGAATGTCGCAATTCCAACAGGCCGTCAAGAAGGTCAGAGCTGCGCACAGACTCAAGAGGACGCACGGATTCGCCTTTAGCGCTTCGGAAGTGCAGGGAGAGCAGGCCAAACTGATTAGGAAGTACGACACTACCAGACCTAGAGCTACGGGTTGGTGATCTCCCACCCCCCTGCCCCCGCCACACCCTCGCATTTGAGCGGCTCGCCATTCCCCTTTCCCCCCCCCCCGGGGGAAGGGGGGGGGGGGACAATCTACATGTACGCAAAAGTGTTGCCAATGTACAATGAAGTGCACCGTCCTCGTCATGTTCATTTGTGAGCAACTGCTCGTCCTTGCGAAGATCCAGCCTTTGTTTGGCACGCGTTTGCTATCATATAAAGTCTATGTGTCTGTGCTGTCCGCGCGTGGCGCACGGACGCCGTGAGCGCGCGCTGGTTACCCTGCAGCGGTGTACAACCACGCAACGAGGAGCGTGACGAGTGCTACCTACCTACACATGCTCGGCAAAACGGCCGATCCTCCTCATCCTCAACCGATCCATCCATTCACATTCCCCGTCGATTCATCGACTTGCCCAAGCTGAACAATCCAGCTTTGGCCTTATTACATTGAGGGGGGGGGAGCAATCTGCTGGGGATGGGCTCGTCGGCGTCCCTGCAATGTCCATCTCGCTCGCCGACTGTGCGTCGGAGGAGGGAATGGCGGAGAGATCGCAATGTGGAGATGATGATGCGAATGATGGACCAAAGCATGAGCGGGAGCGGGGAATGGACTGGATAGGCAGCACCAGCGAAAAGGATCAGGAGGTGGAGCATGTGCGGGTGCAAGATGAAGCGCTGCGAGCTTCTCTTGAGCGAGAGAGGCTTGCTGCGAGCAATGCCGAGGAGGCTAGAGGGGCTATGCACGAGGAGAGCGACGAGGGTGCCGAGGATGGTGGCGGTGCTGCTGCTGGTGGTGGTGGTGGCAGCACCACTTTTTACAAGTCTGTGCAAATCAGCTTGAGGGAGCCTGTGGGCAGCATGAGCATCAGTCCTGGTGAGTGGAGCATTGCCAAGGGGATACGAAGGGGGGTTCCCTTGTGAAAGCGTTTGCGCGCTCATCTTACCGCCCTACCATGCACCACCTTGCTTCCCTCGACTCGGCCATTGATACCGCTGGAATGGCATATGTGCAGCCAATCGAGATGTGGTGCTGGCTGCTCGCAAAGGCCTCTTCATCGTGGATTTGGAGAATCCGTACGAACCGCCGCGCTTTTTGGCACACGCTTCCAGATGGCAGGTGGCTGATTGCCAGTGGAATCCGCATCCAGCTCGAGCGCAATGGGTCGCGAGCACTGTGAGTGGCAGGCGCGCAAAGGGCGTCATGCTGACCACCGCATTCATGGGCAGTGAGCGCCCTCGCTTACTCTCTGATCGCGCGCATACTTGCGCTTCGCTACGCAGTCCAATCAGAAGCTGCTCGTGTGGAACTTGGACAGACCAGAAATGCTAGCGGAGGATGCAGGCGCTTTCTCTGTCAGATCGATCAGGCCTACACGTACCGGCTCTTACGTCTCTCGTCAATCGACACGACCAGGCACGACGACTGGAGCGTCGGGCTTCGTGGCTCAGCCTTCGTACCACAGTCCCTCTCTCAGCTCATCAGCTCGTGGTCTCACCACACTGACTCCCTTCTCTCACGATGCGGCTCTATCTGGAGCTGGACGAAGCGTCACGTCTGGTAACGCCTCTGTTGCCGCAGCAAGCAACATCCTGGAACCTCGGAGGATCTGGAAATCTTCCTCTGTAGAGTACGTCTTGCATGCTCACACGAGAGGCATCACCGACATCAATTGGTCGCCCTTTCATCCGGATGTGCTTGCTAGTTGTGGCATCGACAGCTGGACTTGGGCGTGGGATCTGCGCGATCCCAGCAGACCTAAACAAGGCTACAGTGCGTGGAATGCTGCCGCGACGCAGGTAAAGGTGAGTGCTGATTGCGCTTCATGAAGGAGGCGGGAGCGCTCGCTCGCAGGACAAGTCAGCTCGCTGACCTCACTGGCTTCTCATGCTTCTAGTGGAATCGAGCGTCGCCTCATCGGCTTGCAACATCGTGCGACAACAAGGTGCTGATTTGGGACGACCGCAAGGGCGCTCTTCCCCTAGCCACCATCGAGGCGCACGAGTCTAAAATCTATGGCATCGACTGGGCTCGCGATGCTACATTGGGCTTAGACAGGTTGATCACCTGTTCTCTAGCAGGAAGCGTCAAGTACTGGGACTTGTCTTCGAATCACGCACAGAGAGCGATAGGTAAGAGGGAGCTAGTTACGGAACCTGAGCAAACCATCGAGACGCCGACTCCTGTATGGAGAGCCCGGCATTTGCCTTTCGGAAGTGGGGTCATGACTCTGCCCCAACGCGGAGATACGAGCCTTTCGATGTGGCACAAGTCCAATCCAGAGACGCCAGTGAAGCGCTTCGAAGGGCACAAAGATACGGTCAAGGAATTCTTGTACCGCACGCGTGGCGGTTCGGACCGACAAAACGATGATAGAGAGTGGCAATTGCTCACTTGGGCAAAGGATCAGACGCTGCGCTTGTGGCCGATCGACCCACAAGTTACCAGGGCTGTCGGTCACGTTGCAGGAGGCCCTATCAAGGTGCTATATACTCGTGTCAACGCTCCCAACATTTCTTACCGCGACCCTCCACCGATAAGTGCAGGTGGGACGTCGGGCGGCAAGAGCGTGACAGATCAACCTCAGCTTTCGCTTCAGACGCAGTCTCTTGGCGAGCCGCATGCTCGAGTCTTGTCCGCTCCCGAGAACATCTTCGTCCGATCACCAGCTTCGGCAACGGCGATTCAGCCGCCTCTGGATGCCACTGCTGCATTGCTGAGCGGACCAGGTAGTGGGACTCGGACGCGCTTGAATTCGGGTGGTCCGAGTCCTCTTGCGACTAGCACTGGTGGTAACTCGGGAGCCTCCGGCTCTGCCTCAGCTTCTGCCTCTGCCTTCGGCACCAGTTTCTCCCGCCATGCTAGATCTTTCTCCGAGCGCGCTGGAAGGGAAAATGCTCTTGAACGATCGTCCTGGAACGCTCCGCTCAGCGAGTCGCTGTCAAGATCACAGCCTAGGTCGATGGGCTTGAGCGGCGCCAACATGTCCGCGCCAAGGGGAGGATCGATGACCGCTGCCCTCCCCCAACAGACAATCTCCAGTCGCTCAAGGGAAGTTCACAGGCAGAAAACGATTACGGAAGCGTCCAGCGCTAGTACGACCAAGGGAAAGTCTCGAGCTTCTAGGGACGCCCAGGCCAAGCTCGGTTCAGCGCATTTACGTGCGAGCGCAGACGGGAGGGAGACGTCTGATGCGAAGCATGCGCATCACGGCAAAGAACGTGAGGGTAAAGGCCGCTCGAAGCAAGGGGAAAGCACCGCGGGGAAGCGCTCACGGGCGAAGGCCCCTGAGAGCAAAGTCTACATGACTCGGGGAGCTGGTGTCATCAGCGATGCAGCTTGGCTCGCGCAGGCGCGCACAAGGGCACAAGGAACGGCAGGTCAAAATCACACGTTGGGCAGCAAGTCGACGATCGATGCGATTGGATGGATATCCGGTGTCAAGGTGAGCGGTGGGCTTGCTTCGCAGCGCCGCGAACGCTCCCCGACCAGCAAGAGGGACATGTCTCCAAGTCTGACGGGAAGAGAAGATCATCTTGACAAATCCATCGCCACGCTCACACCTGATCGATCCACGGAAGCTGGTGCGGTTGCACAGCCCCAAGGCGTACCGAAAGAGGGCACCTCTATCGACGGTAGCGATGCCGATGTGATCGCGCCGGATGCGGCACAAACGCTTGGCGAAGAAGTTTCGAGCATCAGCAAAAGAATGCCCAGGGTGACGTTCGAAAAGGTGAGTCTCCGCAAAGCCAGCGCGTGAGAGGATACAGCGTCTGATCACTTTGACTTTGTTTCGAGGCAGGTCGAAATAGCGCAACGGGTCATCTGCTGCAATCTCTATGGACCGTGGGGCGTTGAGCGTGGCCAGCCGGCATTTTTACGCATCACATTCAACTACCCCAGCTCGTACCCTTCCAAAGCACCGCGCTTTGATTTAGAGAACAACGCAAGCGTGCCTCTCAAGACGCGCGCCCTGCTCCTCAGGAGCGTCAAGAAGCTTCTGCGGGACCACGCTGCGACTCGACGCGTAGTGCTAGATCAGAGGCGAAGCAAAGAGAGCGGCAGCGAAGATAATAGTGCTGCAAATTCGGAGAATGAGGAAGAGCAGAGCGAGGTGGATCATCAGCTCGAGGTGGACCGGGCAGCCTCTTCGAGAGCGCGGTCAGAAAGTTCGCGAAGACAACGGACGTCCGGCAAACGTCGACGCTCGAGCCATCGTGTGGATGGCTTGCCAAGCACAGAGGCGGTGCTCCGATTTCTGCTGGGCGAGGCGATCAGAGGTGACAATGTGCCCGGCGCGCCGGGTTTGGTCCCGCCAGCATTCGGAGAGACTTCGGATGAAGAAGATGAAGTGTACGCTTGGGATCGCATCTTTGGCAGGGCGCCACCGCGCATTTGCGGAGCATCTTTCGCGGCGAATGGTGAGAGCTATCAAGGATCGCTGCACATATCAGTCCCTGTTACTGATCCGTAAGACCTCTTCTGCAGGTCTGCTCGTAGTTTTCGGGCAGCGAAGAAGCCCAGCTCTACCGAACATGAAGGACTCGCGTTCGAGCGCTGCACGTGCTCCATTGTTGGCGCAGACAGGCAACGCAGGCGCAGGGCGAACCGGCTTGTCTGAGAGTGTGCGCGCAGCGAGTCAAAAGTATGAGACTGAAGGGCCGACAAGTACGGCTGGAGCAGGGGAGAGCAGCGCACGTTTTGCGCACAGCTATTCCGCTCTGACCACTGCCATGACGAAATTGGCGCAGCTGGCTAGACGACAAGAAGGTCTGGATGCTCCTGCGTCGAAGAGCAGCAGCAATCGAGAGCAAAATGATGGCTTCCTCGACGACTTGGATGTGGTGCAGCTACTCAGCGCGGATTTTTTGGCTAGAAGATTGCGCACGGCTAATACGAGAGGAGATGTTGAAGGACAAGGACGGGGACGTTCAGGCGGCGCGTCGAGAGAGAAGGAGCCATTCGGCGTCCGTAAGCGCAGCCGGAGCAGACTGAGAGCTTTTGGAGCAGCCCTTCTCGAACCTCCTCCAGGCGCTGCGCACGACGCTCTTTCCTCTCGAAGGGCGCGCTCGTCAAGCCCTGCCGGCTCGCGAGCATCGCGCGCGATGGTGGATCATCACCATCAAGTCGCAAGCATTGGTCCGTTCGTCGTGCGCCTCTGGGACGTTGGCAAGTTGCTGAGCAGCTCGAATCAACGTCTCGCATCGCCATTTGCACCATCACGTCTGGCCACGCCACCACCTTTGCTGCGTCGTCGCTCATCTTCGTTGCCATCCAGTCCCAGAACAGGCGCTACGCAGGCATTACTGTCGCCCGGCAGAACGCCGACGAATGAGCGCCGCGATCCTTTCAGACCTCTTTGAATGCTGGAGCCGGCATCGGCGCACGCCTCGATTGCTCGCGTGTAATTCGGCGATACCGAACGGCCCGATGCATTCGTAGCGCTCTGCCCAACGAATGCGTCAAAGTGATACCCTGCCGAAAGAGCATCGTCTACCGCGTCACCGCACCCACGAGTCGCACAATCCTCTCCAGCGCTGTACAAATACACATTGTGAGACGTGGCAGAAGCCCGCTCACTTCGCCCTTTCTTTCATGTTCCTCCTGTCCTCTACCCATCCCCCCTTCTTTGCCTCCAAATGCCCTAGCGCCTCAAAGCCTTCCCAAAAGTCTTTCCCAACGACGCACAACCCTGGCCCAGACTTTGAGCGTCTGATAAACGGCAGCGGGGGCCAGATCCCTGATAGTGTGTTGCCAAAGCAAAGCGTTGTAAGCTCGATGTCTAGCTGCGTTTGCGGATAGCCAAGAGCTATAGAAGGGCGTCAACGCATCATCTTCTGCCCTTCTTCCATTCTTCTCTCGTTTCGAAGCAGGTCCACCACTACCAGTAGCGAAGGCGGAGGAGGAGGAAGGGGACACGTGTCGCGTAGCTCTTTCGACTTTTTTTGCAATCTGCATTTCCAACTCGAACGCATCTTGAGCAGCTCCGAAGCGCAAATTATTGTCTGCCCAGAAGCGTTGCGTAAGAGCTTCTGCTCTGGCTCTGTTCAGGCGATGACGCAGTTCGGCAGCTTCTAGACGAGATAGAAGGTCGAGGTAGTAGTAGGAAGGGCGACCATTGGGACTGGCAGTGGGACTGCTTAGAAACGACCTCCTCCACGCTCCAAGCTTGGATGTAGCGCGAGGCTGATCAGAGGCGGATGAGGTGGGGGAAGAGGAGGGAGATGCGAAGGAGGCTGTGCCTTCGCTGTTGAATTCGGAGAGCGAATAGGGATGGGAAACGTTGGTGGTGCGGCTGCTGAGCGCTTGTGCGCTGGAGGATGAGACGTCTTGATTGGACAGAGAAGCATGGCTGTTGGAGCTGGAGCTGGAATGAAGATCTTCTTCGAATGCGCTGCCGATCAAGAGCAGAGGACGAATGTTGGAGATGGGATGAGCAGGTCCGACTAGATCTGCGCCTGGTCTGGAAGCCAATTGTGCCCTCTTTCGTCTAGACTTGCGCTGCTGCGTGTCAGTGCCCGTGTCTGTATTGGTGCTGGTGCTGGTGCTGGTGCTTGTGCTGGTGGCAGACGAGCTGTATGATCGACACGCCTTTTGGACTGAGCTACGGCTCACTGCCGCAGCAGCCACTGCCGATCGTGCGGGAAGCGCTGCGCAACGCATACATGCTCCCGCTTGGCTACATGTGCCCGATGCCGCTGTACCCGACCATCTGGCGATCGAAGGTAGATTGATGGTCATATGGGTCAGATGATGTGTGTGTGGGGGGGGGGGGGACAATCTGCGAATGAATTTGTTCGAAGTGGTTTCCGAGAGGTGAGTCTGTTGAGTCGTTTTGAGTGAATGCGTGTGGGGATGGTGGGCCAGTTGCATGCAATCTTGAGCTCCCTCACGGTTGGACTGACGCGAGGTGATTCAAGAGTCTTCTGATGAGTTTGAGTGCTTGGAGGGCAACCAATGCGCGCGACCCCGGCGACATCGGTCACGAGACCTAAGAAAGACATTTGTGCGACTCTCGCAACATTCTCGAATATATTGATCAGGCACGCGCGCACGCACCATCACCCTCCCACCATGCATCAGTCACGCCATCCAGACATCCTTCTGCGCAAACGATCACGCAAGATGCTCGTGGACTCTTCCTCTGCTGCTCCACATGCCAACTATCATCAATTGAAGCGGTCCCACCCCCCCCCCACCCCCCGCATTGACGCTCGCACAGCAGCTCTTTCGTCACGTCATCAGCACTCCACGAACTTGTTGATTGCCAAGGCATGCAATCCTGAATATCCGAATAGCCGTGGCTTGAGCTCGTCAGAGATGGCTTGCTCTGCTTTTATGCTCCTCCTCTTGGCTTGTATGGGAGTGTGACTGCTGCTGTAAAGGCGGGAGGCGATCACGAATGGGTGCAAACCCCGCCCGCCTTCTTATTCCCCACCTTTGCTCGGTCGTGTGCGCGCAGCTCGATCGTGAGTGACAGTGCAGCCTCATCATCACCCGCGGGTGGCCTTTCGCAGCTGACAGTGTGAGGGGGTACAGAACCCTGAATGTATGCAGTCAAGATCGAGTAGCAGCACCCGCTGTTAGCAGGGCAGTGTTCCCTCCTTATGGAAGGCGAGGCGGCTCGAGTTGCCAGTTTGGCCGCCGCCATGGCATAAGACTCGCGCACCTTCTACATTTAACAAAAGTCATCCCCCCCCCACTGCCCACCGCCGCCTTTCATCTGGACCAGCATCTCGCTCTAGCATATACGGCACTGCACCTTGCAAACATGGCAGCCCAAGTAGCTCAATCGCCTCTGGTACCAGCCGGTCCCAACGGCACCGACTTGCAATCCCTCAGCAGCGTTCCCTCCATCAAACACATCCTCACATCCGGTCAACACGATGCCCTGCCCGACAAGTTGACTCCTTATTCCGACTTGCCCAAACAGATTCCTCTTTCAGCACCTACCATTTGGAAGAGGGAGGATTATGAAGGGGAAGAGAACAGAGAGAAATGGGTCAGGGTTTGGAGCGAAAGGGAAATCGAGGCGCTCGAAAAGGCTTCCGTTGCCTGGAGAGATAGCGGAAAGAGCTTGACGGAGATCGAGCGAGTGAGTGTGAATGGTGTTGGTGTTGGCGTTGGCGTTGGCGTTGGCGTTGGCGATGAGGTGTTTGCGTACCTGCATTACTCGCGAGTCGGTGGGATGATGATACGTGTACGCATGCGGCGTAAAATCCCTTGTCTCCATTTGACCACTTCAAACCCCCCCCATTCACCCCCCCCAAACCTTCCCAACGACGATGCCGCAAATATCTTGCAGGCCAGCTTTGTGCTGCCCGACTGGCTCGCGGCCGATCTGACCGCTATTCGATACCGCATCCTGCACGGCGTCGGTTTTTACCTCTTCAAAGGTCTGCCCGTTCAGCGTTGGGGCATCGAGCTCACCGCTATCGCCTATCTGGGCATCGGTACTCATCTGGGCAACACTGTCAGTCAGAGTGAGTTTTCTTGATTTTTTCAATTGCTCGAGGATCGTTGCACTGGGTGGGTTTGGAGTTACATGGGGAGGTCTTGCTAACCCAGCTTACGTCGAACATGCAATGGCATGTTCAAGGCTCACGCGCTTCTTTTCCTCCCCTCCTCGCGCACGTTCTGTCTATCCTCGCAAAGACAACAAGGGCCACTTTTTGGGCCACGTCAAGAGCCTAGATGGCGCTGATCCTACCAAGATCGACAAGGTTCGCATTTACAAGACGTGAGTGGCTCTGATCGTGCGGAGGATGGCGCCGAAATGCTTTGGCAGATGTTGTGTTGGAGACTGATTCTTTCGCCGCGCTTGCTTCCGCACCGCACTGCACCTCGCCAACGACGGCAGTACTGCGCGTCAATTCTTCCACACGGATTCTTCGGGCGGTCTAGTAGGTCTTTGTTGCCTCCAGACGGCTCAAGAAGGAGGAGAGTCGGACATCGTATCTTCTCAAGCCATCTGGAACGACTTGCAAGCCAATCGTCCGGACGTGGCCGAAACGCTAGCCTCGAACATTTGGTATTTCGATCGCAAAGGCGAGCAGAGCAAGGGCGAGCGACCCTTTTACGTTCAGCCGATTTTCAGTCTGGTAAGAGGACAACCGATCGAACGTCTTTCTGCCCGATTCGATCCGTACTACATCAAGTCTGTGCAAAGGCACGTCGATGCGGGCCTGATGCCGCCTGTGAGCGAGGAGCAAAAAGAGGCGATGCAGGTGCTGGAAGAGACGGCCAACAAGCTGGCTCTGCATATGGAATTGGAGGTTGGAGATGTGCAATTGGTCAGCGATCAGCATGTATTCCATGCCAGGACTGCCTACGTCGACAGGGCCCCGCCAGAACCAAGAAGGCACCTGCTTCGTCTTTGGCTCTCCACCCCCTCTAGCGAAGGAGGATGGGAATTGCCAACGATTCACAGCAATCATCCTAGACGTAAGTCCGGAAAGCGCGAAGGGGGGGGGGGGCGGGGGAAATCGTTTGTTGCGCAAGGGATGCTGATGATCGCTTGTCCCCACGCTCGCGATGCAGGTGGAGGTATTCAGGTAGACGATCAAATCGCTACCTGTCCGCTCGACGCCGAGTAGTCGATGGACCAAAGCTCCTCACAAAGCTGTGCGCGATGCCGAAATGCAGCAATAACAATCAAATAAACCCCATATTTCCGGAAGATGCGAAGCGGTACAAATATCAGCGAGTGCTTATTGATCTGAGGCGGACTAGGGTGGGAAAGGACGCTTTAGCGGACATGCGAATGGTACGGGGGACCAGGGAGCAGCAAGCGAGATACAGCAGACAAGTGGCGAAATGCGATAAACGGCTTTGGTTCACAGTCTCCCAAGAGAGGTGCAGCGTCCGCGCAGTATACAAGTGGAGCAAGGGAAAGAGAAACACCTTGTCGCATGTGCCAATGTCATTCGTGCAGGGATGGGTTGGGAATCGACAGGGAGTAAAATACTGCCCTGCCTGTCCCGATTGAGAAAGCTTGCGCGTCGCAGCAAGGGGGACTATACGAGAGCTTAATAGGCCGCACGCTATCAAACACCCTTTTCACCTGAATCCGCTGAGAGCCAAGACGGTGACGCCGGTCTGATTGGCAAAGTAGTTGGAGCCTCCGGTGGCGTGCGCCCAACTAGAACCGCCGCTGCTGCCCGCCAAGATTCTAGCTCCTCCAGCACTAGCCATCCTGTGCGCATTTCGAATGTCGTCCTCTACATCCTGAGCGCAAGCTAACAATCTGGCCGCATTGATGCGAATGCTGGAAGCGTTGAAAGTGAGCGTGACGCGCGAGGAGGAGGAGGAGGAGGAGAGGGAGGCGTAGGAGAGGTAAGAGTGCGAATAGGCTTGAGAGAGGGCCGGATGAGAAGTTAGGTTCTTGTGCGCATGAGGTTGGATCCATACGACGCAAGATGGTCCATCAAACTCCAAGGCGCGAGGTCGGGGCGCAGCAGTAGCTGCCGCAGCTGCTGCTTCCTCTTCTTGTTCCGCTCTCGCTTCCTCTTCCAAACTCGTGCTTTGTCCAGCAAAGCCATCATGGATAGCGTGTGCTCGAGCAAGAGCCGTCTGACCCGAAGCTTCTTGAGAAGCTGGCGGCGGCACGAACCATTCCCTAAAGACTCTATCCAGACCTTCCGCCAGCCTCTTTTCCCACCTCATCGCAGGTCTTCCAGGCACGTCCACATCCTCCCTCTTGCGCTGCAACGTCAAGCTCAGACACCAGCTCTCAAACGAATCGAGCGGGTCCAGTTGGAATTGGTACGTCGGCATCGTGGCGGGCATCGTGGGCTGCGATCGTCTGCTCTGGCGCGCATCGAAAGGCGAGCGCGAGTCGAGAGAGGAAGAGATGGGACCGGACCAATCGTAGGCGTCTAGAGGTCTATTCAGATCTTGCCCTGCAGGATGCAAGTGGTCGTTCGCTCCTCGTATCCACGTCGAGCCGCCAGCGCCTGGCACTACGCGGGCCGTGGAGCCATGCTCTTCTTCTTCTTGGTTGCCTACCCCGCCGACGCTTGCCGTTTCATCCGCATCCTCATCGTCCGAGACGAGTCTAGCAGCTGAGAAGCGTTCGTACGGTGTGGCCACATCCGTGAAACCCATTCCTCTAGCCGAGCTGGACAACGGCAGTACCTGGGTCAAAGGCGCGCGCGGGGGCGAGTCGGGCAGCGCTCTGGCAACGCTTGCAGTAGCAGAGGGGCTCGACACGCTGCTCGTGATGTCCCTGCTTGTCAACCTATCTCGATGTTCTAGCGGAACTTGCGGAACGGATAATTGGGCAGGATAACCTGCGGGAGCGACTCGACGCCATGGGGATGCAGCGGTGCTAGAAGCTTGCGCTCCTCGATCCAATTCCAATCGTTTGCTCGTCGATGAAGCATCCGCGTCGGCGCGCACAAAGGTAAAGTGAGCGTAAGTGCCTGTGCATCCATCGCTCCGTGAATCATCCGGCGGACCCAGATGAGAAAAGTGCAGGAAATGCTTCGTCGTCAGTGTGTCGATTGGTCTTTGCGCTTCGAACTTTGACAGCGGGGGGGGTGGGGCGAGTGAGGGAGAGAGGCCAAGAGTCAGCAAGAGGCAAGAAAGGGCGCGCAGCAAGCGCCAGATCGCTGAGCATGGCGGGCGCTCGTTACTCACAATCAATCGCGAGGTCGCTGCAGCTGAGCTCCTCTCTCGGTGATGCGAGCCTCTGCTCTGACTTTTGTCTGTGCTGCTCGCGCGCTCGGAAAAGATGGTCTGGATGGAGCCGCGGACATATCTATCGTGCATGGCAGCATAGTACCTGCTAGCGCAAGACATGGTCTTTGTAAGATCACGAATGGGGATAAAGCTGAAAATGTGGAGCTGTAAAGAGTGCGTCGCATCGATGCAAGAGCCCAGGTCAGGGGGGGGTTGTGGCAAGTTGAGGAACTCGAGACGCATTCACTCCCACACGCTTTCGCCCTCGCCGTCGACTCACCTGCAGCTCATAAGGCAAGCTGGGAAAGAGGGCCAAAGCGACCGCTTCGTACTCTGCTCTGCTTCGCCTGACAAGCTCCCAAGCGCTCGGTTCTTCTATCTGAGCTTCTCTAGACCTCGGCGAGCTTCTGCTTAGGTTGATCATACTTCTAAAGCGGGGCGATCGATTCGGAGTGTGGCTGGAGGAGCTTGCAGCTTCGACGTTGTCGACGTCCGAAGCTCCCGCGTCGGCCGCCGCAGCCGCAGCAGCATCTTGCAATCTCCCGAGCGACATGGCGTCGATGCGTTTGCGTGCTGATCGCACAGCGTTGCGAAATGTTGATCGCGAGTCTGAGGTCTTGGTCTTGCCAGAAGTCGATGAATGACCAATCAACGCTTCCTCGCCACCCCGCCTTCCACCTTTTGAACCCCGCTGACGAAGCTCGTTCCAAACCGCTTGAGGCAAAGCAATTACAGTCGTCATTGTAGGGCAGGGCGGGCCAGACAAGCAGGAGGGGGAATGTGGAGCACCAGAGTCGGATCAAAGCAAGAGACAAAGTGGACGCGCGCGTGTGAGAAGGGGGTGAGATCAGAGTCGAAGCGGAACACAAGAGTGTTCTTGTAATTAGCAAGCATCTTCTCGGTGCAACACGGCGACAGTCCGTGCCATTCGATGCGAAGACTCACCGACTCGATCGACCTTCGGCGACTTGCGGATGCTCCTGCTCCTGCTCCTGCTCCTGCTCCTGCTCCTGCTTCTGCTCCTGCTCCTGCTCCTGCTCCTGCGCCTGCTTGATCGATTGCGGCCCCTGCACCTGAGCTCGTCACGTATCACGATCAACAGTCTGAGTGCAAAGGCAGGCAGGCAGCCAAGCCATACAGCTCCTTCGTCACTTGTGCAGATCCGCGCGAATCCGGAAACCTGATGAAATCTTACAACGTGGGCTGGTCGCTCCGATAGGCAAATCAAGTTGACGTCCTAGCTGCTGAGATTCACGATTCACGATTGCCAAGACAATCCATCGCAAGTTCCACGAATCGTGGAAATCGTGAATGCGAAATGCGAAATGCGAATGCGAAATGCGGGAATCGCTACGCGCACTGCCACAAACGCGCACGGACGGACCGACCTGCAAAGGACCCCCGAGCAGCAAAAAGCAGCCACACGAACAATTACGAATCGTGAATGCATGCACTGAAAGCGCTTTAATTGTGAACTTCACACTGCACGGCGCGCGCGTGCTTGCTTCCATGCATCCGTTGCAAGAAGCGAGCGAGCGAGCGAGCGAGCGGCAAATGCTTGTGAGTCCAGCACCGACCAACCAAACAGGCAGGCAGGCAGGCAGGCGGGCAGGCGGGCAGGCGGGCAGGCGGGCAGGCAGGCAGGCAGGCAGGCCCAGTCGGAGCAGCAGCAGCTAGTAAGACCGTACACCGAGAGCGAGTCCCTGCTTTGCTCAACTCTTGATCACCATGGCAGCAGCAGCGAGTTGTGCTTGATCTTAATTGATGTTGATACCGACTTTGCAACTTTGAGCAAAGGTCTGCAGTCTGAGTGCCGAGTGCCTTGATTCATCGATGAGGCGTACGTGAAAGATGAGGGGGGGGGGGGGGGGGGGGGGGGGGGGTCGCGGGTCGCGGCCGGGTCGCGGATGCAAGATATGCGGTGTACCTACAGTAATCATCGCGCATGGATGCACAGCTATACTGTATCATGAACGATCTGAATTGAATTGAATGTGAAATTCAAATGGAAATGCAAGATGATATATGCCAAGTCGTGAGCGCAAGTCTTGAGCAAGGAAGGTGGCGTACGCGTGCATCGTCGCGTCGCCCATGCAGCAGGCCGTGCGCGCGCTGTCAGCGCGTATACACTCTATGCAGGCACTCGCACTCGCACTCGCACTCGTGACACAGCTAGAGTCATCACGAGTCACGAGTTACTGAGTCGTGACTTCTCTCTCTCTTGTGTGACTCAGCTATAGGCATCAGTCATCGCGATCTGGACTCGTGACTTGATTCGTGATTGTGCTCAGTCACGAGTCAAAAGTGTGAATTCGATGCGCGATTGCTGCTGCCAAGAGGGCCGGGCGGGCTTGCGGACCCATGTGAGACGCAGCCGCGTCAGTCTGAGTGTGAGTCGTGAAACCGCTCATCGTGGATATGTTCGCAATACGGCGGCGGCGGCGGCGGCGGCGCGAGGGAAAGGGAAAGGGAAAGGGAAAGAAGGGGTATATAGGCCAAGCCTTTAATTGTTGCTTGCAGCAACGAGTTACGAGTACCGCGCGCAGAGATTACGGCTCGCAGCTAGCAGCCACGCCTTAATCTCTCCCTTTCGCGCGGTGGAGTCGGATTGCAGCTATGTATGTAGGTCGCGAGTGTGAAGTTTTGAGTGGAGGGAGTCAGTAGTCACAGTCACGATCGAGTGTGAGTCTGGTGTGCGTCTAGCACGACATGCATTGCATGATACTACTGCTGGAAAGGTGTCGTCGAGTTGAGGGGGGGGGAGGGGGGGGGGCGGCAGCGGCATAATCTAGTCACGAGTGGTGGGTGTGCTCCATCTACACCTTCCTCCTTACCGACCTATACTCACATCTCACATCTCACAACAACCATCGACTGTGTTGTGCGTACGCAATCAATGGTACAGGTGCGGGCAGGTTCTGCATTCTTGATTCTTGATCGCGTATGGGCATACATACGCACGCGTGCGCGCACGGCAGGGTATACGCCCGCCCGCCCGCCCACTCTTGAATATGCCTTGCGTGGAGGAATATAAGGGATCTTGGGGGTGTTTGTGCCGCGCGATACAAGCTTGACTATAGTCATCTCGTAGAATACCGCTCTGTACGCATCAGAAGTCGTGCCTGCGAACCGCTCATGGCAGGCTTCATGTGTTCACTCCACCTTCCTTGCAGCAGCACAGACTGATCGAGCGCTCCGGCATTCCGTGTGTGCAGCACGTTCGAATGCAACCTAACAGAAAGACAAAAGGCGAGACGTTGGGAGGAAGCGTCGATGAGCAAAAGTTTTTGATGAACGAATGCGATTGCAAGGAGACATCCGAGAAAGTTTCGAAAGGGCACAGTGGGTCGTGGGCATTGGTTTGTCTTTCGAGATGGAAGGGAGGGCATGCGGGACCAAAAGGCAAGGTGGAGGGCTCCGTCCGTGCCCGAGATAGACGGACGAGTGGTCGAGCGAGAGCGTGCGACGTTGCGACCTATCCTTGCGCTCTTACTTTTGCGCTCGTCTAAATGCGGCAATGTCGCGAGCTGCGCGCTCGGCAATAGCGTAGACCACGCTCTGAGGGTGTCCGGGAGCCAAGTCGGGGAAAGATCCAGCATCGACGACTCTGAGCGCATCGATTCCGTGAACTTGCCATTTGGAGTTGACGACGCTATCCTGGATCGTCTTTCCAGCTCTGGTGGTGCAAGCGGCGTGCCAGACGGTAGATACGGTCGAGCGAAGGTACTCGAGGATTTGCGCATCGGTCTGAATCTTTGCGCCTGGAAGGTACTCGTTCGCCACACCGCCGACCAGCACGGGAGCCATGGCTTTGGAAGCAAAGAATTGACGAAGACGCTTAAAGGCCCAAACCGACACGGCTCTGTCGACCGGATCGCTGAACCAGTTCAGATCGATCAGTGGCAGATCCTTCAGATCCTTGGATGCCAGTTTGACCGATCCGACGGAGCGAGGCGCAACCAGAGCGGCCAGGATGGAGGCGTAGCGCTTTCCGCCAGCTCCAGCAACGGCATTTTGCTGCAGCAGGTTCGCAAAGTTGCCAGTGACGCCAGGTGCGCTGAGGTACTCGACGTGGGGCCAGTCGGCGGGGTAGGAGTTGAGGACACCAGCACCGATGGCACTGGCAGTCGCGGGAGGAAGACGTTCCCAAGCCAGGTAGTCTGCGACTGGATTGGTAAGAGGACCGAGATTGTTGGCGGAGAAATTTCCAAGCTGTTGCGTCAAGAACAGAGGATTGGCGGCCAGATCGGTGTACGAGCGCGTCTCTGGCGTAATCTCGTACGTGATTGTAGCTCCAAACACGTGGTCCACAAGGTTTCGTCCGACATTCTCGTTGATTAGCACGGGCGCAATGTTGAACTTGGACAGCTCAGCAGTCGGACCCACTCCGCTGACCATGAGGAGCGCAGGCGAGTTGAAAGAGCCGCCGCTAAGAATCACTTCGCGCTTCGCTACAATGCGACCCGTCTCGCCAACGCCGTTGAGGAGAGAGCTGACTACCACACCATCCGCCTTGGGCTTGCCACCGGCAGGTGTGGAGAATGTGAGCCTCTTGGCACGAGTCTCGAGGAAGATCTTGAAGTTTGGACGGTTGCGTGCGGCCTCGTAGAAGACGCGCGAAGTCTGAGCAGGGATGGTTGCGCAATGCGCTGAATTAGCCTCTCGTTGCACATTACTTTAGCGGCCGTCCTTCCACTCACAGAGCGCTCGCCCTTGGTGGGATCGACGGTGACGGCGGCGTAGTTGCCACCCAGCAGCTTACCACCGTTGAAATCCTGAATGCGTGGAATGCCGCACTCTTGCACAGCGAGGTCAACGAATTTCTGTATTACAAGCGTGCAAAAATTAGCGACAGCTTGCTTGACCAATGAACAGTGACCGCCGAACTCACGCTGAAATTCTGCGGCGTGTTGGGGTATCCCACGAAGAGGGGCGCCGTGCTGTCGGATCCGTAATTGCGAGCGTCGAAAGTAGCAGCTGGCAGCTCCTGACGAAGTTGAGGACGAGGGGGGGTAAAAGTAGCCGAGCGCTTGAAATCCGGAAGGAGGTTCTGGAAGCTCAAGCTGCTGTCGCCTGTCAGCGAGACCCATCGATCCAGCGAACCGACGGTAGGTCGTTGGGTGAGCCTGAACAGATGCACGCGTGAGCAGCAGCAGTCAGCGGCAATCATACGTGGTAGACACATGCGAAAGCTCACATGAAGTTGCGGGCGCTCGATCCACCAAGAACGCGCCCACGAGTGTACGCGACGGGCTTTGTCCTTCTCAGTTCGGGGTTGTTCTCGATGTAGTATTGCCAGTCGAGCGCCGTTGGCGTTTCTTCCGTGCCCACACCGATGACGTCGGAGCCTGGTACATTGACGAACGACTCGTTGATGACATCGGCATTCTCCTTGTAGTCTCGTCCAGCTTCGATGACTGCCACGGTCTGATGAAGAAACAAAAGCACGTCAATCGTTGGTAGATTGGCATACGGAAGCGTCGCGCCTCCCGAGTACTCACCACGGATGGGTCCTCTGACAGGCGGGCAGCCAGAGTCATACCAGCAGTACCAGCACCAACCTGTGGAACCGTAGGACAAGGGGAACATCAGTTTGGGTCTTGAATTTGAGTCGTGAGTCCGACATCCCAAATTTGTCCATTGTTCATGGTCACGTGAGGTACTCCACGTTCGAGTAGCGAGGCAGTCGCTGCGTCGGCCCAGCTTGAACCTCTTTTCGATCGCAGCATTCACAGCGAGGCAGACGCTTGTTTCTACTCACGACGACATAGTCGGCTGTCCAGACGGTAATGGGAGGTATGGCCAAGGCAGAGGCGGTGTGTGTGCCCACAAGGGCTGCGGCAAACGCCGTGAGGCCGACGAACGCGGATGATCTCATGATAAGAAGCGAGAGCTTTTATCAAAGAGCGGAGACGGATCCCGGGGGGGGGGGGGAGGGGCACGGATCTCGGGAATGGATGGGAGAGGGGAAAAGTTGAACGGGGAGATGGAGCTTGTGAAGGGGCGAGGAGGTAGCCCGAAGGAACGCGGCGAGGCTTTTGAAGGGCTGGCAAGGAGCTCTTTCGAGTGCAGCGAAAAGGGACGACATTCCAATTGATTGGCTTCTCTCCTATTCGCAGCCCGCGCTTGATTCACAGATCATTCGCTTCCGTCCACATGCACACTTGCTGTCTTGCTTCCGTCATAGGCAGCATGACAGGCCTGTCCCTCATGGGCAGCGCGTTCAGCGCAGGGGCCTGCACAGAGCCTATGATCGCTAGCTTGGATCGGAAGAGATGGAAGCATTGTGTTGGGTCCTCTTGCGCACCTCTCTGCGCCCCTTCCTGTCCGCGGCCAACGGGACCCGCACAAGATCACGAGTCCGACCGCCGGGCCTGCTCGACGTTCTGGATCTTGAATGCAAGTCTGGGCATTTGCTCGCTGCGACATTCGTCAGCTGTTTATGCAAAAGACCGAGGGACTGCGAATGTCCGCCGGAGGCATTGCTCAGCTTGTGAAAGCATTCTGGGAGTCCGTCCGGTGCTGGCCTACTGCTCATTGATGTCCAGCGACACGAGAAGCGATAGGCGATGCTGGGACAGGACAAACACTGAGCTCGAAGCCACAACTCTGGGCGGGGCAGGTATCGTACTGAAGCGGTCTGTTTGGACAAGCGCCGGCGAAGTCTTTCCGAAACACCGTTCAAGCGAGATAAGAGGGCATCCAAGGTGCTTGTCTGACACACACAAGGCTGTGCATGGTCACCTGGACTCACTGGTGCATGACCCATCAGTCTTCCGAAAGCGCTTCCTTCTTTTTTTTTTTTTTTTTGCCCGTTCGGCCGTTTCTGTGCAAGTTCAAGACACTCCTCTCCGCTGCACCGACCGCCGCTGCTCGCTCACACTGCGTTTGTTCCGAGCGGCAGGCAAGACAGCAAGCAGCAAGCGGCATTCTCCTGACTCTGCTGTTTGTTGAAGGAGCCGTGCCGCTGCGATCTGAGATCCTCGACCCTTGCCACACTATGCAGCAGGTGCCGTGCTTGGGCGTATACTCACGACTGTAGAAGAGCATATCATCATCATCATCATCATCTCAAAAGCTGTGGGTTCATTTACCTTTGCTAATAACACCCTCTTCATGCAGCGCGGGATGCAAATTGGATCTGGATGCACGCCCAGCCACAAGAGGAATACCTGTGGTCGACATAACAGTCACGAGTCGCGAGTCGGCAGCAGCAAGGGTTTCGTGCTGACTGCTGCTATAGGAAGGAGCATGTAGCACTCGATTCACCCTCATGACTTTGACAGATTCAAAGATTGGCGAAACTCACTCGGTACATTAGAACTTGCCCGCGGGTGTTTGAAAGTTCATCCGAGGGGCATTAGTAAAATCTCCGCGGCACATGCATTAGTAATTGTCCGCATGTGGGCCAAGAAAAACCTTGCAGCGGAGAGCTGCATGCACCAAGCTGCCGCTGCTACTGCCATGGCTGCATGCATGCATCGCAGCAGCACGAGTCACAGTAAGATCTCAGCAAAAGCATAATTTGAATGTGGATGAGTTTTCGCTCTCACGCAAGCAAAAACATAATTCCGGTACCCACCCAATTAATTAATGACCGGACTTGCGGACTAGCGGACTTGCGGACTTGCGCGGGATTTTGCCCGAAATGCGGGAATCGTGAGTGTGCATCTAGAAGCGCGACGACGATCTCCAGCAAGCAAGCATACATCCAGCTTAATTGCTGGCTTTTCTTTTGCGTTTGCTTTGGATGGTGTTCAGATGAGCCGAGACCATTTAAATTTCGTCGAGTGTATCGACCCTAGCTGCGGTCTGCGAACGTGAGCCCGGCGCTATACCATCAAAGTCTGCGCCCTCGATGATCTGCGAAGGGTTAGACTGACTCGACCATTCCCTGCTGTCTCGACTCTGCTGATGCTGAGTGGGCGCTTAAAGAAACTTGACAAAGTGCGGGGGCATTTTCGAATGACCTCGTCCCAGCTAGCTAGCATGCGGTGGAATCAGCTTCCGTGCGGAGGGACATTGGTGGCTTCACGCACGCTTCCTTTGGGCTGCTTTCCTTATTCCAGTCGTCGCAAGTTGACGTCCTCTTGCACTCGGAGACGGTAAGCGCTGTTTGGCATCCATGCACAGCGTTTGGGTGGCTTGGGCGCTAGAAACAAGTCGAGCGCCAGTCAGCGGGCACTTGATGCGTCGCATGACTGACCGAACATGCGACCGTGATTGTCCCGAGGAAAAGAAATGGGGAGATGCTCGACCCCGCACTGACTGGCCCATTCCCTTCTGTGCTCCGACGGCACAGCTACTCAGATCAGCATTGACCTGCCTCCGCCCAACTTTTGCCAACAACTCCTGCGAACCTACTCGCACCTCCTGACAGAAGTAATGAACGCTGAGCAAAAGGACGAACTCTCTCTTGCAATCGTGAACACACCAACGACCCGAACTCACCTGACCCTCGAGTCGAAGCTGGCGCAATTGTGTAACGCTCCTCGCACGTCGCGCAAATCAATTTCACTCTTGTCATTCGCAATTTAGCTTTAGCGTCCCCCGCAGATCCAATGCGCGAAGCGTTCGATAGCTTCCGATGCGCGCTACTGTAGCACACTCACGACCAAGTCAAAATTTAGCCTTTCGAGGCTTTCATCCCCTCGCGGGGAACTCGTTTGCTCTCATTGCGGAGTGCGGCATCACCTCACAGTCCAAGTCCAGGTCCCGTAGGGCAACGCACTGACTGACACGAAGCGCTTCTCGTCGAGTGCGTGCGGGCAAACCTGGGCAAGGACCACTCAGACTCGTGACTGTGACTGTGTGACTTTTGATGATGCTTCGATTGAATTCGCGTAGCGCCACCTCCCCATTCCAATTTATGCACCCCACATTCACACTCGCATTCCCATCCTCACTCATTCACATTAATTGAAGCTGCTGCATGGATGCAGGGCAGGCACTCAGCAGCAGCAGCAGCAGCAGCAGCAGCAGTGCGAATGCATATCCCTCCCTGCTCGATGCAGCAACAAGACGGGCAAAGGTACCTGTACTCGGACCACGCAAAAAGCCATCCAATCACGTTCTTTCCACGCATCTCTGCCAGCTTGAACAGCAAGCGAATCATCGTGTCCGCACTCACGAGTCCTGTTGAGGTCCAGAGTTGCTCGTCATCGTTCGAGATGCTCTACACTCTCGCCCATGATCCCAGCTAGTCCAACAAGGCAGTTGTTTGGGGGGGGGATGGGGGTCGAGGTCCGCACGTGGGGCCGGCTCGCGTCAAAAAGTCGTGAGTGACTTTTTCGAATGCAAGCTTGGCCGATGTGGACATTGGAACAATCAGAATGTGCCGCCCACGAGTAGTTCGGTGAGGCCTAGATTATTCCTTATTGCCGCTCGGCTGGACGGGTCCACTCTCGAGCGCGTGAAAAGGAGAGGAGCGGAGGGAGAGGACCTTGGAGCGTGGAGGGAGGGGCATGAAGTAGAAATTTGCTCGCTCGCTCGCGCTCTGCAGTGTGATCGATGCGAGCACACATCGCAAGCTATCCCCCGCATCACGACCATGCGGAAGAGGATCGTCGATTCTGCGCCACGTCGACGCCAATCAAACTCGAGCTCGTTTGCCTCCATGCGGCACATCACGCCGTTCCGCAGAGAAGATCATGTCATTGCGTCGATGCTAGCGCGAAGTCCATATCGAAGAGGACAAACTTGCTAAGATCCGCATCGAACGTGCGCTCATCGAGCTCTAGCTCACGAGCGCTTGTTGGAGAGGGAGACAGAGGGGCAGATGCAGACCTAGCCATCCTCCTCTTCGCCCACAACTTCCTTTGCAAAGGGTTCAAAGGCGTCTCTGAACGCGTTCGTCTCTGCCGTCTCTATAGCGTCTGACCTAGCGCACTTTCTCCAATCCGCCCGATCAGGCTTCTTCAGATACCTCGCCAGCGTTTCTCTGAGCCACGTGATGCGAGCGAAGGAGCGTCAGCACGAACAGGTTGTATAGCTATGCAATGGATGCATCTGACGGGAGAGCCAGACAAGCATCTCACCTGACGAATTGCAAGCTGAAATGTCCCGTCATCTCCGGCAACATGTCCAACATCCAAGTCTTTTCGCCCAAGTCCACCCTCAAATAGTCTCCCAGCTTTTGCCTCTCGTCCGCATCCTGTTGAGTCGTGTCGAGTCTCCTGCTAATCTCTTCCGCTCTCTCTTCAAAGACGTATCCGCACTCCTTGGCGCTGTCTCTAAAGAATTGCTCCAGACTTTCGCCGGCCAGCTCCTTGGCGACCGGCACAGACTGTGCCTGTAGATGACCTATCCTCGTGCTGTTCGTTCCCGGCGAACGTCCAATCTCCCAAGAGACCGCGACGCTGCCAAAAGACGCAAAGGCGAGCGAGATTGCCTTGCGCCAGGCATTCATCTCTGCGTGCAATGCTTCGGATTGGCTAGGCTCAGGCGCAAAGATGGACGGTGTGTGCGCGATAGGACTGTCGATTCGGACGCAGCCCGCCAGCGTCAGTCTAGAGAGCACGGTTCGCAGTGCGGCCGGGCCATCACATACACTATCAAGACGTGACCACCGCCAGGGACGTTGGAGTCGGCATCGGAGCTGGAGGGCAATTGGCCCTTTGGCAACGAGATGTAACACTCGGTACCTGTGAGGGGCATTGGACAAAATGTATCAGCACACAATCACATGACACTGCTCCCGGCCTGGGCGACGTACCTATTGAGACAATCAAGTGCTGTGAAAAGTAGCAGGCGATGGCGGAAATTGATCAGCGCCACACTACTGACATAATTTCTCTGGCAATACCGCCTACTCACCTTTGCCGCTTGTGGATTGCTCAAGCAGAACCAGCAGTCGGCAGGCCCCACGGGTATGATCGGGCCTCTGCGCGAGAGGCCAGGAGGCAAAGGCACATCAGGTTTCTGTGGCAGCCCGTTAGCCCCGCCATCGTGAGGGTCTGTTTCAAATCGAGAAAGAAAAAAAAAGGAGACATGTCCACGCACGCTCGTGTCAGACATTTGGCTTGACGCTAGCCACCGCTGCTTTCAAGCGTACTCACCTCGTCGAATCCTTTTGCCGCGACCGCGGGTAGGCTGTCCGGCCCACCTATAATTGGCTCCTGAATCCAACGCATCGATTTCCCCATTCCCTCTTTCCCTCTTCGCGAACGCTTCAGCTTGTGATGATCGGCCACTCGCTCCACCAGGCGTAGAGCTACCGAAAGGATTGGCTGTGCATCCGTCCGGAGCCTTTCCAGCTGCTGCTCTTTGCAAGCGGTCCATCTCGATGGCGGGCACGAGGTTAAAAGCTCCGAACCATTTCTTCTTGTCTGCGTTTCCGAACCTGGCGATGCTCAGGAAGCGAGTAGATGAGGCCGCAACATGCGCATGGGGAGAGTTCTTGTATGGCGCTCGCTCAAAGTACACGCCTGTTCGGCGCGTGGACGTGTCGAGACCTATGATCCCATCGATTGCTCCTCCGTTCAAGTCCATCGCTCCACCATCAGGCCCAGGAGCGAGCGAGAAGCAGTAGCGTGGCTTTCCTCGAAGTAGCAGCGTGGCTATTGCCGGCGAGCCCCAAGTGCGCGCAGTCGGATGTGGCAGCTTCTCCTCCGGCACAAAGAGACTGATACCGCTGGGCCAAGCGTTTGTGAGTAAAATGTCGATGGGTGGTATTGCTGCGATTGCAGCTTTGGCCTCTGTGAGCGCTTCGGAGCTTGTTGTCGCTCTTTGCGCGGCTTCGCGCGCTTCTTTCAGAGTGGCCGGTGCGCCGTTCGATGTGCTGCTGCTGCTCGAAATTGCTTGCGCGCGCGCAATCAATGCGTCTCGGTCTTCGAAGGAAGGATGCGAAAGCAGCGACTCGATAGAGTTTCGGGTCATGAAGGTCGCCTTCACAGCATCCTCCGCCGGTACCTGGTCAGGGACGAGGGCAGTGAGCATGTATGCGCGCGCGCAGGGCGTTGCAGTAGCAAGTGCTCATCACTGACCCCTTTGAGAGCACCATTCCACGTTCCACCTATCCACGCGACCTGCAAACCCTCGCTTGCTGAGCCATCTACAGGCCCAGATCTGCCGATCCTAGCGACTCCCTGTCTGCCAATGCAATAGAGATTCTCTGCTATTCTCGTGACCCTGCCAGAGCTTGCGCTTTCGATATCTTCGAAGCTGGAGTGCAGACGCTCAAGGATGGACTGAGAGGCGGTCGATGAGTGCATAAAGTACGTCTTGATGGGGACTGTGAATGCCACACACAGAGGTTGCAAGCGTCAGACAAGTCCAAACCTCGCTAGGCGCCGGATGCGCTCCTCATCCAGAAGTGTACTCACAAGTGATTGTGCCCTCCACGAGGTCTCTCTCTTGTTGCTCGCTACGATCCCGCGCATCGCTCGGAGCGAAGAGATCTCCGAGGACGAAGAGGGCATCGAAGGGTCCGTGCTTCTTGTTGATCTGTGCTGCCTTGTCGATCGAAGCCTGGATTTGGCCAGAGGGCGGACCAAAGACGAGTCTATGGCGCAGGACAAAGAGGGGGCCAAAGTTTGGATCAAGATGAGCCAGCTGTGCTCCTTGCGCCCTGCTCTGATGTGACGCACGCTGCTGCAGGCGATGCTTCACCATCACTTGCGATTGATGTGCCCCATCTACCCGACCGATTGAACTCACATTCGCATGGCTATGCCAGCCTTCTCCACCACCGCCGCTGCGGCCGTGCTCGTCATGCCGATGTATATTTTCGAAGCAGTCGAGAGTCAGCTGCACAAGAGCCCTGCTGCTCTAGCAGTGAGCATGTCGTGTGAGTTTTGGAGTCGCTGAGAGGGGGCAGACGTGTGACATGCTGACTGAAAGGGTGGACCGGGTGCATGCAGGAAGCTTTGTGGATTTTGTTCCCATCAGCAGCTGCAGGCCATGCAGCATTCACATTCTTGATTCACGATTCTTGATTCAGATTGCAAGTCGATCACGTGCGCCCCGCATGAAGCGCTTATTCAAGATTCAAGGTTACCTCAGGGACCCTTCCTTGTGCCTGCAGCCAACACGAGTTCGTTGGTTCGCTCGTTGTATCAATTCTTGATTCTCGCATGCAACGACTGATGTGACTACTTCCTTCATCCTGCCAGTCAGAGTCCAGATCGGCAAATATCCCACACACACAATCATCCGAAACTCGTGCCCCTTCAAGCACCTCTTGTGCTGATCTCGTTGCAGAAGAGATTCTCATCTCATCTCGTCTCACCTCACCTCGGCGCATCCATCTGAGGCGGCGAATCTATCCCGCTCGACCGATCGCACACCCTTCTTTGCATGCGTCGCCTTGTCCGCGCATCCTGATCAGCCAACCATCATGTCGGACGTGGGCGCATCCTCATCGCCTTTGCTCACACCTCGCATTGCAATCATCGGTGGAGGTCCGAGCGGCCTAGTCACTCTCAAGACGCTCCTCTCTGGCGTTCCCTCGCATTTCCAACCTCGTGTAAGCCTGTTCGAAGCAGAGGAGAGCATAGGTGGAACGTTCAAGTACAGAAGCTATCAGAATGGACAGTTGGTCTCTTCCAAGCAATTGACTGCCTTTTCGGATTTCAGATTGCCCTTGGATGCGCCGGATCATCTGTCTTTGGAAGCGTACGTGCAGTACTTGGAAGATTACACGAGTCATTTCAAGCTGAAGCAAAAGGCGCAAAGGTTCGAATTGGGTGCACGAGTGATTCGCGTGCGCCGGACAGCCTCTACCAAGGGGCAAGCGGGTGTAGGGCATGTGGTGCAGTGGAGAGGAGCGGATGGCAAGGTGGAAGAGGACACGTTTGATCAGATTGCTGTATGCGCAGGCTTGCACGTCACCCCTGCCTTTCCCGATATTCCCGGATTGCCGATTCCTCAAGTAGCAGATTCCGAAGCTGAAGAGGTGCGCAAATTACGCGGAAGCACGTCCGAGGCGGATCGAGCCCGTCAGGCTGCCCTCACACCAGCGCAGCAAAGGATCAAGGCGATGCACTCTAGCATTTACAAGGCACCGCACATATTCAAAGAGAAATCCGTGCTCATATTGGGGACAGGAGAGACCGGCATGGACTTGGCTTTTGCTGCTGTCAAGGGTGGCGCAAAGGAAATTGTCATGAGCACCAGGCAAGGCTTCCTCTCCGTGAGTGGCGCGACGCCTTTCTCCGAGACGTGCCCGGAAAAGGGCAAGCATGACCGCAGGCACTCGGTCGTGTATGCAGGAGTGTCCAAGAGTTGTGTGCGCCGTCCGCTGATCTTCTCGTTGACGCCGGATACATCTCGACACTCTTCACATAGTTTCCTGCCGTACTAGAGAACTTTACCTTTCTTGGCGTCACCTTTGATCGTCCAACACCGATCGACGGTTTGATCACGAATCTCTTCGAGACCAGTCACGTTCACCCATGGGTCGCACGCTCACACTTGCGCTGGTTCGTGTCGGACATGATCATCAAGCGGGTGCTGTGGGTCTTGACGGGCACCATGGCAGGATGCAATCAATGGGTTGGGGAATTACCTCCTCACAGACTAGGAAGGGCCTATTCGCATTTGAACAAGTCCAACAAGGCCATACCATACCTCAACAAGGGCAACAAGAACAGACCGTGGATCATGGAGAAGATCGCAAAGTATCTGGACCCTCCGCACGTGCGCGAAGACGAACCTGGGGTGGAACTGGCTCCTTTTCCTGAATTGGTCGACGAAGATGGACGGATACGCTTCCTACGAAACGAGCGCAAAGAGGATTTCAAGATGAGGAGCAGAACAATCAAGCCTGATCTGGTCATGTTCGCAACGGGCTATCAACAGAGCTTTCCATTCTTCGACGAGACCTATCCGGTACCTGCTCAAGCTACATGTCGAGACATTTTTTCGCACGACGATCCTAGCATCGCCTTTATAGGCTACGTTCGACCTGGTGTGGGAGCTATTCCTCCCCAGAGCGAATTAGCAGCTCAACTGTGGACCTTGGTGATCTCGGGACAGCTCGAGGCGCCCACTAGCAAAGCTCACTATCACCTGCTCACCAGACCGGAGGCCAGGCTCAAGTACGGCGTGGACTACAGCTCGTACGTGAGCCAATTGGCTAGGGATATGGGATGCGAACCGCGCTTGAGGGATCTGTACCGCGATTACGGTCTTCAGATTCTCTTCATCTTTTGCTTTGCCGCCGCTTTTCCCACCGTGAGTCCCGCATCGTCTCGCGCATCTTCGTCAACCCAGCATTCGCTCATGCTTTGCTTCCTCACCTTGCCCGCCGCATAGCTCTATCGCCTTGAGGGTCCTTGGAAATCTTCCACCGCACCTCAAATTTGTCGGACAGAGATCTTAGAAACCATCACTCGGAGGGGCGTCGGTGGCAACCTGATGATGGGCGTCATTCCCATGATCTTTTACGCACTCGTCACTGGACTGGCTCATGTGATGGAATTCACCCTCGAGCTGGCCCTGCTCGTAGCGCCCACTCCAACCAGAGCTGTGCTTGGAGCTCTGGACTTGCCAGAGTGGTTCACCCTTGATGGACAGAAGCCAGCAACAAAGCTAAAAAATGCATAGCGTCTTTGCTCTGCGCCACAATTGCACACCGCCGCGCCTGCTAGCAGCTCCATTTGTACATCAACCACCAAACGTCGCATCATGTCAGAACAAGATCTTGTGCCGCTCCTGTCTCGCTTGCTGCGCAACAAGTGTCCACCGTGCGCGCCCTGCCATCATCAAGTCCGTCGAGCTGGAAATATTTTACTGAGACGCCTTTAGACGCGTACGAGCTCGAAAGCGAAGCTACGTCTCCGAGTTCATGTGCATGCATTGAGATGCCGATGCGTCATGATACGATGCGCAAGCCGACCGACCGAGCTTGACCTGCTATTGTTTTGCACATCTGCAGAGCCGGAATCAGAGCATCGAGTCAGCAAGCTGCTCGAGCTTCAGGGCAAGGCGCAAGTTGCACCGAGTGCTATGCCACCCCTTTTTTTGCGTACTGCTCGTTGGGAAAGTCTGTCGCAATACTTTTGGGCAAAGCAAAATCGAATGATGGACGAGACTCACAGCTTCTTCAGAAACGTCATCGATATCCCTCATCTTGATCTTTGCAATCTCGTACAGTGCCTTGACGTTGATAGTGCCCACATACTCGCTGCCCGTCCTTCCAGAGCCCGTCGTGATACCAGCCGCTCTTTTCAAGAGCAGAGAAGTTGGCGGAGCTGTAGAGGG